CGTGACTTGTACAGTAGAACTTGGGTCGTTTTGAGCGGTAGTCACTTGCGCCCCTAGTCTTCCTTCGGTCACAATCCCGTTAAAGTGTTCCTGCGGTCCTTGACGCGCTTGAAAAATCTTGCCATTGCCGCGTCGATAGGGTCTGTAGATTACCTACCGGGCTTCCCTTCTCCTGTACGGCGACTTGAGAACGCGCATGTCTTCACCACGTCAATCACGTAGGTCGTTCTTCTTGTCCTTGTTAGGTAGTCCGTGGCCAACCTGGGTCACTCCAGCTGTGGTTTTAATCTTCGATACAATTGAGCTGCATTCTTGAGTGACCCAGGTCTATCGAAGATGGAACGAGGTTTACCAAAACGGGACCGAGGTCGACCAACGAGGGACCCAGGTCTACCAACGAGGGGCCGAGGTCGACCGATGAGGGACCCAGGTCTACCGATGAGGGGCCGAGGTCGACCAATGAGGGACCGGGTCGACCGACGAGGGACCATGACCAACCATCCAAGGAGCTTTCTATTGGCTGAAAATTCAACCAACCAGAAACCTGGATTTTCGTTGGTCGTCCACGCGTCACCGTTTCGTGAGCTCGCTGTTCCTGCTTCGCGCCCCTTGCTCGGAACTTCAGCAGCGCCTCCCCTGTCGGTCCCAGTAGCCTCCCAGTAGCCTCCTAGTGACTGATCCAGTCGAAGAAGATCCTGGTGACCATGGAGCTGCTGCTGTATCGGCAGGTGATGCGATAGACATTGCTTCGCCCCTGGGTGGACAGCGGCTCCATACATTTGAGGGTAGACCGCGATGTCTTGAAGCGTCATCTGGCTGTCCCTGGGCCGTGATCGTGTGTTTGCTGTCAGAGGTAGGTGTCCCTTCGCTGGCGTGGTACCGACGAGAGTCGACAGACGTTTGTGTATATTCTCTAACGTCGTTTGTGACTCTGTCGAATCCTAGGGAAAGCAGGTCGTCCGGATCGAAAAGTCCTGCAACCATGGTCGCTTCTCGAAGAAGGGAGACAGCGCGGTGATCGCGTCTGTGACGGTCTGCAGCCGTGGGTAGGGTCAACACCGAGCCAGTAAGCTGTCCAAGCAGCTGGATCTAGAGATTCTTTGCGACGGGGTCGCTCTCCAAGAATGCGTCTAGCTTGCGTTGGTGGTAGAACTTCGTGACGTCAACGTCCGATCATGACGGCAGTCCTGACTTCTCGGGGCCTATCGCTTGGTGTTATCGGGCGCCTTCATCAGGAACTTGGTCGGCTTGGATTGCGCGATCTTGTTTTGTTGTTTTTTTGGGGGACCTTAGCCTCTCGGTTTTCACCGTTGGCTGATGGTCCTCTGGATCATGATAGGAGTCATGACCCAAGGTGTCCTCTACGAGGACATAGGGAGGGTATTTAGGTTTATCTTCTATGAATTCAACCTCGACCATGTTGACCGGGCCCCTCCCAAGGTCCGGTAGGTCCTTCGATCCTTTGTTTTTTCTTCTTAAGTCACTGGCGATCGGTCTTCCAGTGGCTTCTCGGTCTTGTGCTCCTTCTTGACTTAAACATCTTTATCGTCTTGGGACTCACGGTAAAATCCCGCGCCTTCCGAAGATCCGGGCACGCGCACCATTGTGGTGGAGTGGGTTCTCAAAATTGTATGATGAGACCCCAAACCACTCACTGTGCCGGACTGCCGACTGTCGGAGGGGGTACCCCGATGCCGCGTATGAACCTTCTCTCACCTTGTGTACCCGTCGGCTGGCGGGTTGCACTCTTCGGAGGACTTGGTGACGATGTAGATGTCTGCCTTGAGGGAGGTAGACCTGGGGGGCCTCGAGTGGATATGCTTCACTCGGTGGGCCGGTAGGTGGCCACTCGATCGACCTTGTCGAGAGTGGACTTAGAGCCAAATTCTTCAGGGGCGCTTGTCGTCCCTGGCCTTTTCCTTCTGTTTCAGGGGTATTAACCACCTGACCTTTACGTTGCTCCCCGACCTTGAGGTGAGGGAGACCGCTTCCGATAGCGGGTCTTGGGGGGTGTTGCTACTCGAACGAGCTCACAGGCCAAATATATCCTGGAGCTCTATTCGCACTTGAACTTCGCTACACAACTGTCTTCGACGGGGGGCCAAAATTCATCCCTTCCCGGAACAGTGAGTAGCTTAGAGCAAGTTCTTCTTGGGTGACGGAGTCGTGCCACGTGGGGTTCAACTCGCACTTGAGTCCAACCACACGCCTGTCTTCAACGGGGGGGGCCAAATATATCCCTTCCCCGGAACAGGCGTGTGGCCAGACTAGAGTTCCTTTACAGCGCGACGAAGACTTGCCAAGTAGATCGCAAATTGAGTAGTATTTAATATAGTCCTATCCTTTTAACTCCTTTACTCTATCCTTTCCTGAGCTCTGATTCCTTGCGTCGACTGGTCTGATCCTTGTATTAACTGGTCAGGAGTAGCTGAACCCCGAGGGGCCGAGGTCGACCAATGAGGGACCGGGTCGACCAATGAGGGACCCAGGTCGACCTATGAGGGACACGGGTCTACCAACGAGGGGCCGGGTCGACCGACGAGGGACCCAGGTCGACCAATGAGGGACCAGGTCGACCGATGAGGGACCGGGTCGACCGACGAGGGACCCAGGTCTTCCGATGAGGGACCGGGTCGACCGCTGATGGACCGGGTCTACCGACGAGGAGTCGAGGTCGACCGATGAGGGACCCAGGTCTACCGATGAGGGACCTGTTCGACCAATGAGGGACCGAGTCGACCAATGAGGGCCATGGTCGACTCCCTTCGCTACCGGTTAAACAGTACCCTGGTAATGAACTCTCCTTTGTTTGTCTTTCACGTTCTCAGCCAACTGTCGCTTCACTCCGAGGTTCCCTTTATCTCCGGTCCCTTCTCTCTGGTGCGTGGTCCCTTCTACCTAGTCCACGGCCCCTTTTCCCTTCAATCCAACTGGCCCCTGGGTTCTTCACAATTTAGGAAAGCACTTCACCACAATGCCGTGTCTTCTTCCTCCTCGGTTTTCCCCGCGAACAGAAGGTTGGGGACACCCTTTATGGGAAGAATTATGCATTGCGCACTTGCCTGTTAAGGCGTGCCAAGTATTGGCTTTGCGTAGTGATATGGGGTTCCAGATAGCGTTTTCGAAGTGCCGTTCGCGTAGCGACATCCTCGGGTGAAATGGCCTCAGGCCCAATGGCCCAGCCAGAAAGGGAATGTCCAGATGCCTCCTTAAGGCGTTTTTCCACTGTATGTGGTTTGAACCTATACTGTCGGTGGTCCTGAAGCCTCGCCATATTCTTCGTCCGGCGCTTGGCGCCTTCCTCTTGATCGATAGTCTGCTGCTGCTGCTCGTCGAGTGGGTTAGTAACCGTCTTTGGTGACGATACGTCAGGCGGGTCACGTAACGCTGTTAGCGCATCTGCAGCACCACGTTCAAGGAACGGATTCGGTGCATGACTACTGTCTTCTTCACCCGTAAGGGTGGTTATAGGGGCGCATCGGGTCCCACAAAGACGTTGTCACTTTCGTAATCAACCGCTTCGTCAAGGTCGCCTTTAATGAGATCCCGTAGAGTATGTGACTCATTGCCAGGAGGCGTCATGTGTGTGCCGTGAACAACCGTAAGGTTTAAATGTTCGCTAAAGCACCACCTCAAAGAGGAGAGGTGTCGAATGACATTCTATGGGAATGTCAGTATGGTGGAGGAGAGTGTAACGGGGTTACACGACGGTTGTAACATCATTCCGAAAGAGTTTACGGTTGAAGTTTCCTTTTATTGCAAATAATGCATTTTGATACTTCTCTTTAGAGAGGTATTAAGTATGAGCGTTAAAGATACGGTATTCGGTAATACCGTATCTTATCGATTAGGATTCGATAATTGATAACGCTGTACTAAGTACATCATACACATATGTTACGACAGTACGTCGTCCAAATAGCAAAGTCTGCATATTATAATTACTATTGTAGGGTACCTAAAGTAGGACTATTCATAAAATCTTAAAGCATAAATAAAATCAGTTCTCATTTTGAGTTTAAGATCGCAAGTCGTTGTGATTTGTTCTCTTGTGCACTTCGTGCGTTGGTTCTCTGAACCTTAAGCTTATTGCTTGTAGACTAAAGTCTTTCTCCTGGTTCCTTACAACAGGGTCCTTTATTTAGTTTTCAAGAACTAAAAGGCTTTCAGCCTAAAGTCTTCCTCTGGGTAAAGAGCTGTGTAGCTCCACTACAGTATAGATGTGGCACCTGTCGTAGACAAGTTCACCAGAATCGAAAATATCAACCTCCTTCGTGCTACCTCTCCTTGCTCGATGTATCATAGGAAGTCACCAAGCTGCTTATAGAGTCCTCCGCGACCTTCAACTTGACTTATGCAATGCACCCCCCCCCCCCAAACTACCCTGGTGTTTGAGTATTCCAAAGTACATGACAAATACTCAAGTTATATTATCCTGGCTGATTACAGCTTATAACTTATAACTTAACAACCATACGATGTATGATAAACTAGCGGAGATTATAACTTGTCGGAGGGTAACTTATTGGAGGGAGATTTGTACTACGATATCGATTATCGAGCCATAACCGATAAGGTACAGTATTACCGATATCTTATTGTATTGCCACACTTAATACCTCCGTAAGGACTAGTGCTTTGTATGCATTATCACGGATTGTCGTGTAACCCCGTTACAACAACGAATCACACGATGAATCACAATACCACAATGTTTCGTATATAAAAGACGTCAAGCCGACGAGCTTCTATTAAATTCGAAAGTAAGTGTCCCGTCTCTATTCGAACAGGCTTTTCCCGACTATTAAGCGGCAACGCTGACGCAGTCGCTTCTCGTTTGACGCGACTCCCCACCACTTTATTCTTTACTCCGACGTTTTCTATTGACCTCTTTCACTCTCGTATCTGGCTACAAGACGTTTTGCTTTCTATTTGTTGTACACTTTCAGTCCATTGTGCATCATCTTTGTTTGTCTGATCCTTTAATCTTTCATTTCGCTATGGCAACGTCACTGATCCCTCCACCGTCATATATGCTGGGCAGTCGCCCTGCTCAATCTCATAATGGATCCAGTGCACCGTCCTTTCGTCAAGTCCCGTTTGTTCGTGCCAGTGAACGCGTCGAGAGCGGCGTGAAAGTGCGCAAGCAGTTGTGCAAGTATCTCAAGGCTGCGTCGGCTACGCAGCACATGGTTGCTCAGACGCACTTAAGTGATGCTTGTCTACCAGCTCTACAGCCGCAGGAGGTGGCACAATCCTGCTTCCAGGACTTTTTTACGCAAATGCGAACTTACAATCAGGTGCTGGGCAACAAACACCTGGCAGCTAGTAAGGCGTACCTAGATATGACTAGACCGCTCGAAAACTCGGGCAAATCTAGACGATGGGCGCGGGATGTGTACAACTTTGTTCAGCGCTGTGTGACTGACGTGCAAGTGGCTGAAAAGAAAATGGACAAGGCGAGGCTACGCGTCACTCGTGCTGCAGATGAACTTGCAAACTGGAAGACAGTGCTAGCTGCCAACGAAGCTACGTACGAAGTGCAGCCGAACAATCCGGAAGTGAAGCGGGCTTTTGAGTTAGCGCAGAGTCGCTTCACCAATGCTTTTGGTGAGGATGAAGCGGCTGGCGCAGAATACGATGACGCGCGGAATATGCTCGCGAGTGCAATTGCAAAGCGGGATGAAGTCGTGGAAGAAGCCACGGAATTATCACAGAGTGTAGAAGAAGATAGACTTGATACGCTACTGATTGTCATTGGGCAGTTTGTGGGGACTAGAGTTGCCATTTTACAGGCAGAAATCGAGGCCATGTCAGACCTGCAACGCACGCTGAAGGCAATGGATCGTGACTCAGTCGTACAGCAATACATCCTAGACACTATGGCACCGGAGCTTACGCATCGTCAATCTAAGGCTCTGAGTCTGATGGAATGGCATCGTGTATCATGGCGTTACGAAGAGCAATCGCGGCAATCGACTGAACCGGAAAGCTATTTGGCAGTCTCACGTTCCTCGGAAGATATTGCCAAGCTGAGATCTTCGGGAGTCTCTGAAAAAGATGTTGAGATTATGAAAGATTTCGTATCCAGCTGCTTTATAGAGCCCGAAGCAGCTCTTCTTCCATCTGCTGCAGTAGCTTCTTCAAGTACTACTTCGTCATCAAAACATCGCGGCAAGTTTACAGATGCGTCAGCTTCCGCTACGCAGTCGATGTATCGGGTGGGAATTGTGCGACGCGTCATTTTAGACTGCCTCAGGCATCAGCGAGTGCACGACCGTGAGCTTTCACGTGAAGGTTTTTCGCGACTTGCTTCAGCGTTACGTTTGCTTTTGGATGCTTGCGTTGCTCAACATGATACGCGAACTACAATGCACGTCATGAATATGTTGCAGACCTTTTACCGAAAGACCAGCAAGGACGGACAGGAGTATCTTCATGCAGCGCTGAGAGCTCACGCGGCATGGCGTGTACCTGCGTTTTGGGGAGACGCATTGTTGGAAAGTGTAGCAGAGGAACTGAGCAAGGCGCTAATGGACACGCCATGGTATTTTCTGGCTGACGCTGAGCGTGCGCAAAAAGTGTTGACGGTACACAATGTCATCTACGGTCAAGCTTCGGCCTACCTATATCATCTTTCTAGTTTTGGCTATTCTAGGCGGCAGCTCCTCCAATACGCGACCAATGTGTGCCTTGCATACGAACTGGGCGAGGAGCAGCGCATTAGTATGCTTTCATCAGTTCAGAGTATGGTTTTGGATCGATCACAAGAGGATGATTACGAGGAGAAGCGAAAAGAGCCGATGGGATTTGAATACGACAATTGGCAACGCCCTTCCGAACGTGACAGTGAGCAATCTGGCCGTGGCAGCAGCAGGGTTCCTGCTGCTCGAACAGCAGATGTGCAGTTCATGTTGTTCACGTTACCAGACTGGTCGTCCTTTTCGAGAGGTGGTGGAATTAGCGGTGCTGATACAGATAGCAGTGTGTCGAAGAAGTTTGGTCGCAAACGTGGAGAATCGAGTGCATCAAATGCCACGACTGTTATTGAGGGATCAACCACGGCATCTTATGTGGGAAGTGTGCGCGATTTTGAGGAAATGAAGATGATTGCGTCCACTGTTGTTGGTGAAGAAGGTGATGAGTCCTGGGAGAATTTGTTTGGCGTAACGACTACAGATGATGCTGCGGCAGGAGACGAGCCGATGCCTTCGATATTGGGCATTGATGAGGATGTGTCCGCGTCCAGCGAGAAGCACAAGGATAAGCTGATGAAGCGCCGCAAAAGCGCGCGTAAGTTTAACGACCAATTACGACTGGCGCGCAGTTTGCCTCTTAGTCAGCGTATCCACGAGGAAGAGGAAGAGAACGAGAGTGCTACATCCACTGTAACAACAACAGTATCGGCAAAATTGAAGCAAAAACAGCCACCACTACCACCTGGCCTCCCTCGGTCGTCTGTCGGAATCCTGCTACGACACCGTTCATCTGATAACGTATTTATGACTGCTCGAGAGGAAACCGGCGAACTGCCGCCTATGCACAGAAATCACTCATATGGTTTAAGGAACAATTACGGTACTGTTACGGACGAGGATGAAGCTGCGAAGTCTGAAAGGAGGAGACATAGGAAACTACACAAGGCGCGGTCTGTCGCCAGCATTGACACATCCGTACTTAGAGCTGAGACCGAGCAGGCATTCAATAGTAGTCGCGCCTTCGTCAATCCTGCAGACCAGATCAAGACTATGGCGGCTCGGATGAAACAGAGACGGAAGGAAAACACAGGCGGCGCCGTTGATTTTGTGGGTTTGACACGCGCTCAGAGCGATGCAGCCAGGTCTTCGTCTCCGCCAGCTGCTGTATCGCAAGTACCTCTTACTCCGGAGAGAAATAGGGAGGTAAAAAAACTGTCAGGCGTAGCAGCTCTGCGTGCGCGCTTTGAGAACAAATGACTAGTAGCAAGAAATAAAGTGAGGTCCGATCCATACAGACACGACAAAAGTACCGACAGTTCGATAGTTGATTAGTAACTGTCATCTGGAAGGTCTTCTCTACTCTCTTTGTCTTTAGAAGTAGCCGCTAGTCTTGGCAGCCTTGCCTTGGTACTTATCTGGTAGCACAAAGTTGGCCGTAATGTTGCTCGAGTGCACAAAGAGACGGCCACACACGGGCATGATGTCCCACTCGAGTCTGAGCGTCACATTGGCACCACGCAACTCATCATGCTGGTCCGCCATAAAGTACTTGACGTCCTCATCCTGAAATTGCAGCTGACTTGCGACCTCCTTGGTCTCCACGATCTTGTCCCAGATCACAACTTGGTTCCGGGCGTTGCTGGCGCTCTCAAACTCGGCCGTCACGTACACGAAAAGTTGCTTGACGTTCCAGTTGAATACAGAGCTCAAGTCTATTGCCACACAAGTGTACGTAAATAAGTATACATCTAGAGAGCAGTCAATTAAAGAGCATTTTTCATCAACATACCGGCGTCCAGATTAAACGAGAGCGTAGCACGATCCACTTTGTCTCGGTAGTTGCGCAACGAGTGCAGTTGGACGAGTTCCAGACGCCGCACGATCGGAGAAGACTCATGCAAGAATGTACTGATTGTAGTAAGCGCGCACATGATGGTCAGTGTCACTAGTGACGTGTAAAACACGGCATTCGCACGCGTCCAGACGGAGTACATGATGCCACGCGGACAATATTCACCAAATGCGATTTGCTACAAATATTGCAATACACTACGCAATGTTATTGGTTGAAAATAAAAGGTAATATATATGTTTACTAAAATCATTGTAAAAAATCAATGACTAGACTCATCAATATCTCTTGAATTTATTATGCCGCTAGGCTGATGTGCTTACACTGCTGAGACGGGATTGTTCGCCGCAACTACACCAGCAACTGGCTCATGCGCCACTCCAGCGGCCACAAGCTCTGCAGCCAAAAGCTGAGCCATCCGCAGACAACGCAGGTGCATAATTGTATTAAATGCCACAAGCATCATGAGGAAGAGGCTGATATTGTTCGAATTGTAGTTGCTGTTGGCGATATCACCGCTCTCTGCGTCGTCCTCGTAGCTACTCACGCCTCCCATAAACACAAGCGTCACGACCAGCGTCCACATATTAAGGCACAGCATGACGTAATTGGCACGAATGTACCAGCGAAGCCACTTCAGTCGATACATGTCCATAGGTGAACGTGAACTGTTAAAACCCATTAAAGCCGTAGCCAGACCCATTATTCCTAGCAAAAACGGCTGCAGGAAAAAGAAAGTTGCAGCGTAATACGCCATCAAGCAGCCTGCCATCCATCGGCATCTCTGTAGATATGCAAAGCGCACATTGTCAGCTTGTGCGTCTCCTGATGCTCCAGGAGGAGCCATGGCCATCACCGTTACGTACGGATGGTTCGGATCTGCGCTGTTGACTCCGCTGCGGTAAATGACTTGCATGGCGTTTGGATTCACTGAGATTTTGCTGCCTCCATGCAAATGTGGCTGGGTCTGATGAATGACGCCCAACGGCTGCGCCATTGCAATAGGTGGCAGTGTCGGCTGCATTTTCATCGCTGCATTGGGCGTCGGCTGAGCTGCACTATACGGCGCATTAGGAGATTGCACTTGTTCTACAGGTATCGCAGTCGTCGCGAGTGGGGATGCTATTCCTACTGCTGTAGGTGAAGCAGAAGACTCTTGCTGCTTTTGACTTGAATTGACGGCAGAGTTCATAGCGTGTCCAGTAAATGTCAGAAAAGCGAAAGTGAGGGTCAGAAGTCAGAGTCCAGATATTTAAAGAACCGGTTCCGATCAGAAAACTGATGTTTACTTAAGTGAATAAAATGGGTACGGAATGTAACTGCCGTTAAAATTTACAAATGATAGGTACACTGGCGACGAAAAAATATGTCGTTCTTGACATCCGTGACTGGGCATTATGTCGCTCACAGGTTCAGATCGCTGTTTACTTCACGCAGTCGCCACTTCTCGCTTACCGTGCCTGGTCAACGTCCTTATCGCGTCTTGTTCTTTGGCACAGACGACGTTTCGCTTGCTACACTAAAGTCGTTGCACGTCAATAGGTTCGTGCAGTGTTTGAATTGTGTGGCTCGCGTTTAACGTACTTACTTTTGTTTACGTTTGTGCATTTGTTGCAGCAATGAGGAGAGAGGTAATGAACGTCTCATTGAGCACATTGAGGTTGTGTGTCCATCGGATCGCCCCATGAATGGCCGCAAGAAGGACGACCCAGTACCTGTTAAGAAGTTTGCACAACGCTGTGGACTCAGAGTCTTTGAAACACCATCGCATCTTAAGTCGCTCAAAACGTGGGACTTTCCTGTGACCGATATGTTTGATGTGGGAGTGGTTGTGTCCTTTGGCTACTTTCTGGTATGCTACTTTCTGTTGTTCATCGACTTCTGATTTTGAGCTCATCTTCTGACGCTTACTGTTACTGTGGATGCTTTTGCAGCACCCAAACATGCTGAAAAACCTGCATCATGGCGCAATTAACATGCATCCGTCCATGTTGCCAAAGGTGTGAAAAGAAGCGCTGTATTGGAATTGAGGCTGGGATCGAGCTGACAATGTTGTTAATTGCTTATAGTACCGTGGCCCTGCTCCAATCCACCATGCCCTTTTGAATGGTGACACGACGACAGGAGTTTCCGTGATTGAAATAGATCCGAAGGCTTTTGATGTTGGCCGCATTCTGCTGCAAGCACCTTACGACATCAAGCCCGGCATCCAATGCCAAGAGTACAGTTAAACTATGACAGTTTGACGTTGAGTTAGTTTGCTGAGTACAAGTTCTTGCTTTTGTTGCTATTTTGTGCTTTAGGCTAGCACAGGAGCTTGCAGCTTTTGGAGCTGATTGTATCGTGAAAACGCTAGAGGATTTGCCTGCACGCAAGAAGGAAGCAGTAGTACAGGACGATGCGCAAGCGTGTAAGGCACCTAAAATGATGTTTAAAGATGGCCTTATCTCGTTTGATGACTCTGCTACCGACATCTTCCACGTAAGGATTGTGACATCAAGCACGAAGTTCATTGCATGGCCAACTAGTATTGTGTTTTTGCCATTTTCACTGTCTTACTAGCGGTGGCAGGCATTGAGTAATTCTGTTGGCATAAGCGTTCAATTTCGAGAAAAGATGGTAAAGCTGATAGAAGTCCGGCTTCCGTCAGACGAGGAGTTGCAAAGTGGTGAGCCTATGCCTTTTACGCTGTTGGATGATAAAGTGTAATACACCAACCGCGTTGACTTGTGTACTCTTTGCAACTGCAGTTCAAGCTGACGAAAGCCGCAATGGACCGGCAACGACTGGGACCTTTTTCTTTGAGAAGAAACGCCAGGCGTTCTGGGTACGATGCGCAGATGATTCGTGGCTGTTGATTTCAAAGCTGCAGCAAGCCGATCGCAAAGTCGGGGCTGCTCTAGATTTCTGTAATGGATATCGGTTGAAAAACATGCAACGCGAGCGATTTGAAAAAGTGATTATTGAACGTGTCAATAGCAAGCTGTAGATACAGTGGAACGGAGGCAACGTGGAGGCACTGGGTCTAACATTGCGTTACTGATAGGATAGTATCAGTCACGACCAGCAGCATCGCTTGCTCTGTTAGTATGTATATTGAGATATAAATACATCTGACGTATCATCGAGATGCGATTGGTTAATATTCAGCAAAAGCTATTGGACAGAGGCATCTCAAACAAGGCATTATGGTGCCCGATAAAGGTGCATTCTTCGCTCTATGTCGGCCTTCAGTACAACTGAATGTCTCTTTTATCTATTGTCATGTCTTGAGGCTAATTGTTTTGCATCAACTTGTGCATTTTGGCAATACAATGTAGTAGAAAAGCATCCAATGGAGAGACTTAGGGTCGAGGTTGGCCATGTTCGTGGAAAAGTGGCCGAGATGGACGCTGCAGTCGCGGTGTGTTTACTCTTATCCTGTTGCTGCATTGTACAATAGTTTCTGTATCGTGGCGCTATAAAGTTGATTGTTTTGTGTGGTGTGTGCAGGCTGAGCTGCCCACCGAAGCTGGTATAACGTACTTGCAGGTGAAGAATCATGCGCTACTGATGTACACCAAGATGGAGCTTTTTTTCGCACTACTAAAGGTATAACTTCTGTGCTGTGGTACTTGGAGGAGATGTGGTCATGTAAACATTGTTGTAAACTGGTTGTGGTACTTTAGCTGGAGGAGCCGGAGAAGGTGAAGGGGCACCCAGTTTTCAAGGAGCTCGTGCGCTATCGCACGTTGCTGGAGCGTATTCGTCCTCTAGACCGAAAAATGAAGTATCAGGTCGACAAAATGCTGAAGGTGGCGCTGTCCGATGGCAAGGGATTGGACGAGTCGTTGAGCTACGCACCCAACCCGGGCCAGCTCGCTACCGCGGGTGAACTTGACGACGACGAGGAAGGGATTAAAGGTAGTTCTGGTGCAAAAGATGGTATCTACCGTGCACCACGCTTGGCGGCTGTGCCGTACGAGGAGGAGGAGCGTGCGCAGGTGAAGCAGGCCAAGCAGGACGAACGTAATCGCAAGCGTCTGCAGAAGAGCACAATTCTAGCGGAGTTGCGTGAGGAGTTCAGTGAACGTCCAACGGAAATTCTGGCCAGTGGCACACATGTAGTGGACAAGGAAATTGCTCGCGAGGAAGCCGAGAAGAAGGATTTTGAGGAATCACGCTTTGTGCGTGTGGTCACGTCACGCAAGGACAAGATTCGTAAACGGCAGCGAGAGATGGAGGCAAGTCGCACGGATAATGTTGGCTCGATCGAAAACTTTGCTTCCGTTCAGGACATTTTGTCCTTGGATAAAAATAAGCATCGTATTCCAACGCCACGCGAACCGAAGAAGATTGGCGGCAAGACTGGCGGTATCTTTTCACACGTTGATGCACCGGTAAGTTTCACTTGTTGTATTGAGAGCTTTTGTTTGTGTTCTTTTGGGTCCTAACGCATTGCGTTTTACTGGCTACGACCATATGTGTAGACTGAAAAGAAGCGAAAGGTGGTGCGAAGTGGCGGCAGTAGTGTGGCTGCATCTTCGAGTACTACTGTGTCTGGAGACACGGAATTTACGAAAAAGAGGGTATCCGAACAGAAGAAAAAGGTCGTTTTTGCGAATTTCTTCTCGTAATTTCGACATGCAGCCGACTTTTGTGAGAAATAAAATTACTTGATTTTTGTCATGTTGATGTGTCAGTGCTACAGCCCTCGTGGATACTTTGTAAACCTTACACCCAGAGGCTCATCCGACACTTTTGTCCATGACGATTGGACTCTACGGATGTGCTAAGAAATGCAAGCGTTCTAAGCGCGAGCAAATGAACGATAAAGGAATATTTACGATTACAGTCCTGCATCACATTGCTGCGTAACTTTCAAAGTCTTTCCTGCATGTCTCGGAGTTTTATAAACGGGGGTTGGCTGCTTATATGGTCAGTTGACGGCTGAGCGTTGCAGCTGCATGATTATGTAGTGTACTTTCCACACGGCATACCTGTATGATTATGTAGTGTACTTTCCACACGGCATACCTGTATGATTTGTGCTCACACAGCATATCGTGCTGGGACCAGCGAGTTTGCATGATTAGATTCTAATTCCTGACTCGACGATTTTCTTTATGTTACGAATGCATCTAACTTGATAAAGCTGTCATGCAGACAATGCGTTGATGTGGCATTGAATAAAGCTCGCTGTTGTGGTCGGAAGGAAGTGCGTTCTCAGCAACATTTTTTGGACAGAAAGAGCGTAGTAATCCGTCTATCCATTCAATCACGGCTAGCATTCCGCATGTATACTTTGTCAACTTATTGGTGCACGTTTAAGCAGCCAGCGCAGATGTGTTTTTTTGGGACAGAAACATCTGCAGAAATCGTGCCCAGAAATTTGAATATTACGGACGCATGGATTGTCAAAAACAGGCGTAATGCTGGTGATTTAGTCAAAATATCGAGTCTTAAGATTACAAATAGAATACAAAAAACTCACGGTTTGTTACGCTTCCAAAAGGCGGCTGTTGTAGGAATATGCAGCTGAGGAGCCGACCTTCGCAAGACAGAATCAGCACTTTGCTAGCAGCACTTTGTTGGCAGCACTTTGTTGGGTAGTCTGCCGTCGAGACTAGTAGCTCTCTCTTATGTGGACGCTGACAAATTTGGCCGTAGATGCCATGCAAAATTAGTAGTCAGATCCATTGCAATGGCTTTTCACACCGAAATTTCAGCGAGAGTAGGCGAGTCCGTTCAGCACCGCCCCTATAGGATTCACAACGCATTTCGCAGCTAGCATGTAAACGTTTACAATTTTAAGGTAATCTCTGTAGGACACTGTCTCGAGCTTTCACCGTGCTGCACGCTGGCACAGTGACGTCACATTGATGTTGCTGCTCGAGCAAATTACTATAATAGATGCTGAAGTTTTTATCATGCTGCATGGTCGGCCGTTGCCGGACACACGTTTTATGGTCTGAGTGGTCCTACCTTGAAAACTGTCGGTCGCACTTTGTTCGTTTCTATACCCAGCCGGCCGACCTTCAGATAAGTAGCCGTTGTGGGGGAAAAAAGTAGCGCATCCAATCAAGCTATTCATTGGCCAACGCGTTTTGCTAGACCTATCCCTTGCCGCACGAGCCCCCAGTCCCACGTACTGTCAAGCTCATTTCCACTTTTTACCGCAAGTCGCAGGTGCGAGAAAAAAGAAGGAAAATTCCATACTAAATTTAAGTCATTAACAACATGGTCGATAGCAAAATGCGCAAACGACCGACTTCTGTCTGCATGGACAGCAACGGAGGCGGCTCGGCCGCGCCTGTGTTCCTGCAGAAGACATATGATATGATCGAGAGCTCGCCATCCGCGGTCGCGTGCTGGAGCGACGCCGGCACCTCTTTTATCATCAAGCTACCGCGTGAGTTTGCCAAGACAATGCTACCACGCTACTTCAAGCATAACAACTTCAGCAGCTTTGTGCGTCAATTGAATTTCTACGGCTTTCGCAAGCACAAGAAAGACGAGATTGTCATCTCTGTTGAGATGGACGAGAGCAAGAATTGGTGGGAGTTTTATCATGAGAAGTTCGTACGTGGACGCCAGGAGCTCATGGCTCAGATTCGTCGTAAGACGTACTCGGAGCCATCCTCTCCTGACCACGAGGAAGTTGAGACACTCAAGCAGTCAGTGCAGAGTCTGCAAGGTCAAGTGTCGGAGCTCATGGGGCAACTTTCGGACCTCACTGGACTTGTTAAGAATTTACTGCAGGATAAGCAGACCCCGATGCCTTTGCCACGTGCTCCTAAGCGCATGAAGATCAATGAATCTCCATTGTCTGTGTCGAGAATGTCGGTCTCTCCACCTGCTAATGTCATGCAAGAGGCCTATGCGCACATGCCAGTACAATCTCCACAGCCTCGCCAGTCTCAGCCCAATATGTTGCTGGATGGCATGCCAAAGACCCAGAGCCAACGCACACGAGAAATGTCTCTTATGGAGTGGACCGAGTCGTATGGCATGGACTATCTTCTTCACGACTCGGGACGACCGCTGCCGCTATTTACCGAGGACATGCTCAAGTACGATTGAGCGACTAAGGCTTGTGTTCCTCTTGAGTTTTGAGACTTTTTGAGTCGAAGGGGACTGGCCCAAGAACTTGACAGCGGCAAGGACAAAGCGAGGAGGCCTAAGTGTGCAAGGAGATGTATATATTCATATATAATATCGGAAATGTGAGGAGGCAACCAACGGCCCATGAAACTCGGTAGCAAAGACGGTAGGGATCTTAGTTCTTCGGGGTAAGGCAAGATGAGGCAAGCGAGTAGCTGGTCGGAACTTTTTCCGGGAAGAGGTGACAAAGTAACGTAATGGTTGTACACTCAAAAAACACAAGTGCATTGGAATTGAAATGAATAACTGAATGGTATCAGTCAATGTTAAAGTTGCAAATGCTAGTTGGTGCACCATCTGCAAAAGCATACAGATCTGACATGTAGGTGTGACATGTACGTCTTTAGAGAAGTGCTCCATTATCTCGTTCGCGCAACGCACCAGCATTGTTCTTTATTTTGCGAGCACGTTTTTCAATAGAAACCCACAGCCCTTTGTGAAGATTGCACGAACTTTCATCCGATACCAGTAGAATGCAGTGACGTCTTAGTAGTGACAATGAGTAAGGCCTAATGTCTGTGTAGTCTCTGTCAATTGTAACATGTATGTAAAGGATTGTCGCAGATAGAGAAAATACTCAGTGTTTACAATCATTCTGGTAATAAATCATAGTGTTGTAAGTGACTCAAATTGGGTAAATTATTCCCTCAACTTACTGACAGACGTAATATGCTCTTCCACCAAAGACGTTTCTTCGCATATCCAAGTGGTGCTCCCAGCTTGAACACGCTCAGCTCCGTGTCTTCCCACAGGTGCGGTCACTATTGTAATATGTACTTGTTCCCATATCATTTCTATATCTTGTACGCGTTTATTCTGTTTACTAACTTTTACGTGTAAAGCCACACACTGGTCACAACGGATCGATGCGTATCATTGCTAAGTTATGGAGATGCCGGTTATAGTTTGCACAAGCTCGATGTGGACGATCTACGAAATGATAACGCTAATGTAGTGGCTAGTGCTATTATGGAACGACCAGGGACGCTACAGTCACAGCTGGTCGTTGCGTATACAGTTGAAGAAATGCAATATCTGCAGGTTTTGCCTCTTCGATACGAGTCTTTGGAACGCACTGAAGCCACAAACACGTCCGATTGTAAGAAGTTTGAGCTGCAAGCGGCACCCACGTGCATGTTCAATATGCAAATCTTAGGGTCGAATGGAGACACCTTTTCGGGCGTTGTAGTGTGCTGTACAGACTCCATGGTCGCGTTTGGGTACATTGTAAACAAAAAGGAGAACTCCTCGACTGGAATTGATGCTGTTTGCACTCGTCTGGATAATCAGCAGTTTGCTGTCTTTTTTCCTGAATTTGCTACCTTCACACACACGATCTTAGCAGTTGACATCCTTACGTCACCGACGAATGACCACGGCTGGATTGCATTCGGGTGTGCTGACGGGTAAGAACCTTTTGCTGTACTTAGTGGTATATATTCGTAATGTTTGACCATATACCACAGCAAACTAACTGTACGTTGTGTGCCGTGGTAGATTGGTGCGCGTGTTTAATGGGCATTATGACGGAGGATGCCTCAGTGGCCCATTTAAGATCAAAAATCTGCTGTTGAATGGTCCCGTGACTTCTGTTGCTCTATATCTGACACATACAACTACGACAAAAGAAGCTAAGTTAGCTTGGAATTGTAATCTATTGGTGACATGTGCGATCGGCCAAGCACTGGTCTATGAAGACTTGTTTGGTGCTTTTGATCACATCGGGAATGGCGAGGTTTTGATGGACTCTGATACGTTTGACTCGATATTCGTGGGCATTGTTACCGACATTGACCTGGTAAGCTATCAACTTACTCGCCCATGGACCTAATAGTGCTCATCTCAATTTATCTGTGGCAGGATGGACACGTTGAATTGCTACTGGGAACAGACAATCAAGTCATGTTGGCATACAAGGAAATAAGTGATCGTGGTGACAGCCGACGCGAGAATATGAATGAAAATGCGACAAAGCACTCGCTCGAGTCAAACATCGACGACTCCACAGCTGCGTCACCAATGTCACCTGGAAGTTCGCACAATATTTGGGATGACTTGGAGATGATTCCATTAGTGAATGCAAATGTTCCTATCACACCTGCGTCTTCACTAACGCGTTGGAAATGGCAGCGATTGTCCCGAAATCACTGGGACTTGGAAACTTTTGGTGCCATTTACAGTCTTCTCTGGCGAGATATTAATCACGATGGAGCATTTGAGTTACTTGTCGCCAGTTCTACTGGAATTTATGTCTACGAAGTTGACTCAATTTTTGTCATTCAGAAGCTCGTGGCAGTATTGCAGAGTGACTTTTAATAACGTCGACGATTTGTTAATAAAATAGCAAAGAAAGCTGCATGATTGGTTACTATTCCAGCTCCTGTCATAAGTAATATGCTATTCAATAGTATTGCATGTCTTTAGTTTACATTTTGGGATACGTATAATGTTATCCCTTCGTTCCGTCGTGTGGAAATGCTCTTGTGCTCGTCACTTGCGTCTTCTATCGGTTACAGGGACACCAGGACGACCTGAAAGCGTCGTTGCGGCTACAAGTGCAAGCTCGACGTCATATGCCAAGCCAGGACTGTTTCAGTTGCCGGATCTACACACCCCGTTAGATTTTTCGAGACTAACACAAGACGTTAAGCTGCAATGCCATCAGTTACGACAGGAGGTACAAGTTTATTGCAATACTTTATTGTAGTATAACTAGTGTATTAAGTTTCAGTTGTTCTACAGCTAGCAGCAGCATCGCCAGGACTGCAGACGTTGCGCATTTTGGACGATATCTCAAATGTCATTTGCTCGGTCATTGACGCAGCGGAACTCTGCCGTAACGTACATCCGAACGAGTAAGAGACACGCAATAGCATGCCTCTTGAGAAGAAGACAAGTACTGATTTGATTCGTTAATGGTGCAGGGATTTCCGACGGGCGGCGAGTGAATCTTTTACTGACCTGTCAAACTTTATCCAGAACTTAAATGCTGATGTAGACCTGTATCGGTCGCTAAACACGGTGACGGAGGACCAGATCAGTATGAAAAGCTTCACACCAGAGCAGAAAAGAATGGGAATCTTGCTACGCAATGAATTTGAACGTGATGGTATTCATTTGCCCCATGCAGACCGGCAGCGGGTTGTTTCATTGCAAAATGAAATTACGCAGCTTAGCATGCAGTTTCAGTCGACGATGCACAGTGCTAGGGAATATGTCGAGATACCGGCTACACTCATGCGTGGTATGCCGCATAGTATCACGTCTGTATGCGAGCGCAAGTGGATGAGCCGTGACACGTTGCGAGTTCCCACTGATATGCACGTCATGAACACAGTGTTAAAGTGGGTTGGGGATTCTGAAACTCGACGGAAGATGTATGTTGCCGCCAATTCATGCGCAAAAGCCAACCTTCCAGTGTTGGATAAGTTGCGAGCGAAGAGGCATGAGCTGGCTCAGCTTTTAGGATTCCCTACGTTTGCCCACCTGGCAACAAGGTAAGAACTCGGTAAAGCGTCTTCATATAACATTCAGTCCGACCATATATACGTGCGTTGATGGCCTTTCAGCGACCGCATGATTGGATCCCCAGAGGCTGTGGAAAAATTTATCGGAGACATCGCGAGACAGCTCATGGCAAAGGTTCGTCAAGGTTGTAGTCAAATGTTGGTTGTCATCGTATGTATTGTGACGTATGTCTTGAAATTGGTGCTTCCAGGCTAAAATGGAGCAGCAACTTTTGCTAGATGCGAAGCGAAAAAACGAAGGTCGTTCTGTTACTAACGTCTACATGTGGGACTTGCCTTACTACATGGGCATGCTTAAGGCCCAGAAGCACCAGATCGACTCGCGCGTGATTTCAGCGTACTTTCCTCTCGACAACTGTTTGAAAGGACTGCATTTGCTGTGCTCAGCACTGTTTGGCCTAGATCTGAAGCAAGTACCCATGCTCAACGCAAGCGAGTGCTGGCATGATGACGTGGTGAAGCTTGCACTCACTCGGAATGGTAAAACGTTAGGATACATGTATTTTGACTTGTATCCACGGCCAAACAAGTACAGCCACGCAGCTCACTTTACTATTCGATGTGGCAAGCGGCTGAGTGACACGTCGTACCAGAAACCTATCGTGGCTCTTGTCTGTAATTTCAACAAACCCGCGCCCGAAAGTCCATCTTTGCTGACGCACGCTGAAGTGGAGACACTTTTTCACGAATTTGGTCATGTGATGCATTCTTTGTTGTCTCGCACTGAGTTTCAGCACCTCTCAGGCACGCGTGCGACATTGGACTTTGTGGAAACTCCATCGCATCTATTTGAGTATTTTGCATGGGATTATCGCGTGGTGAGTGAATTTGCCCACCACTATCGGACAGGCGCTCCATTGCCTCCTGCTATGATGCAAGGTCTACGTGATTCGAAGACGATGTTCGCCGCGATGGACACACAGACCCAGTGCTTGTACTCCATGTTGGACCTGCAGCTCTTCAAAGAGCAGCCTTTGCCCTGTTGTCCTAACACAACCACGCAAATGATGCATGAGTTGCAGAACTCTAGCACACTAGTGCCTCACGTGGACGGAACGTATTGGCACACGCGCTTTGGACACTTGATTGGCTACGGCGCCGGCTATTACAGCTATCTATACGCTCGCGTGTTTGCCGCCGATATTTGGCATACAAACTTTGCTGGACCGCAGGGCCCATTGAATTGTGAAGCGGGCGAGAAATTGTACAAAAAGCTGATGATTCATGGCGGTGCTAAAGATCCGAATGATCTCCTTGTTGATATGCTTGGTCGAGAGCCTTCACCGACGAGCTACCTGCACGAATTGGGCGTGTAAGTGTTAGTTGATACATATTGAAGAAAAAACAGCAGCCGCAGCGGATCTACACAGCAAATACCAGAGCGGTTAGCATGAATAGATTGAGATTTTTGTGCGTTAGCTCCTGGGCGATGTAGCTGTGCTTGTATAATAGCTGGTGTGATGAAAGGCTCTCAAAAAACGTGGTGTTCATCAGCAAACGGCTAACGGAGAACTTGGATCCGACCGAGCGGAGGGAGGCAGCAGACAATAGGAAGCACAGGAAATAAATGACCTTCTCTCTGTCAACGATCGTGTCTGACGTTGGCATCTCTAACAAATAACACAACAGGCCGCACATGGAGCTCCATCCTTGCCTACGTCATTTCGATTCTCAGTCGTCACGTCCACGTCATATTGGACAGCTGTCATCTCATGCATGGACCTCTTCGTAGGAGAAGAAGCTGTTGAGTTGTGGACATTATCAAACTGATCACCGACTTTCTCCTTGCTCTTGTCCGGAGACTGTTGCGTCACCAAACCACCTGCCTGACGCCATAGCAGTGCGTCTACCCAAAATTGAGCTTCGTCATGGGAGCGTGCCTTTATAGTGTACACGCGCTCATTTAGTTCAATGGTAAAGAGACCAGGACCATCTAGTAACAACAGATGATAATAGCAACAAAGCAACAACACATTAGCCAAATGACATAAGATCTTGATGAAGTAATCTCTTACCAGCGTTATCTTCTTGAAGGAGCGTAATAGCACCAACTTGTGGTAGATTCAGTGCTGCCAGTAGCTTCTGACCTTGTTTCTGAGTGATTTCAAAGTGAGAACAACCAGCTCAATCGATACTCCTTTATACCATTTTTTCAGCAGTATACACACAAACCTTGTAATACGTGAGAAAACAGCCATTCGTCTCAAACCATCGCTTTTGCCACTTGCCTTCGCGCGTCTTTTTGAATAAATAACCTGCAGATCAGATAATAACACTATGATAAACACTTTTGATCCACTGCGTGAAAGGGTGTCGATATAATGACGTACCACGGATCTCCTCGATACGGAAATTGGCTGTATCGGAGCTACTGGGCTTGTCAAATGGCGAGGAAGTCTCCATGTAGTTTGCTCGAGGTTTAGTCCTTTTAATTGGGATATTCAAAGTAGGACACGGGAGGCAGGACAGCGGAGATAGAGGTGACACTCTACCTTAATAATAGCAGTATGTTATTGAAAATAATAGGATCGAGGGCGGATGGCATGGTTGAAGCGAAAAGGACTTGATTCACCCGAATCAGATATATTTTAACTAGGTGTTTGTATTGTAATGTACCCATTTGTCTCGTTTTTCTGACTCGAAAAACAGGACCTTTTCGTCCTCTGAGCTACATGGGGATCATTTCGACATCCGATAATGCTGATCATTTTGAATTAACATTTCCAGCTCTTCAAGCCGTTCCCGGTCGATATGCGGCTGCATCTGCCATGATGCTATATACATGATCACTGTGTCATGTTTTGAGCACTCAAATATGTCGCTAGCGATCAACGACTTGGCCACTAGCTCGTGCTCGTACATGGCCAGCACCTCCAACAGAATTAGCTCTGGCAATGAGACCATTAGGACAACAATTGTATGCAGCTTTATCGAGGTTCAAGCAGGCTTGAATTGTCCTACCGTATCGCTGTCTTTGTTTGTCATCTAAAACCGTTGCCAGGTCGTCCGACAACAAGCGCCGCATTCGCGCATAAACGTCCGCCTATATCGCAAGCAACGAGGTCAGCAACGACAACAGCAGCAGAAAAAAACCTGCATGTTTTCACTTACCAATCCATTGACTTCGTTCTGCAATCGATTGCAGCATCGATGCGCCAAATCCCATAACTGCAGAATGAAATGCCCACCCCAACATCAGACCAGCACAGTCCAACGAAATGACCCCTTTCCTCTTGTAATCGCTGATCTGTCCACGCACCCGTGACGATGCACGACCTTGTAACTGTTCGCAATCGGCCAGCGATCCCCAGTGCTCCCCAGTCAGATATCTGCGTATCGTGTCATTAGTTCGAATGTACTTGGTCCTGCCAATGGGTGCTAATGCAACACAACTCACGTAGTTTTCTGTACACTGTCAGCTACACTAGCAAGCTGCTTCTGTCCCCGTGCGCATCCTTCCTGCCACTCCAACTCGAGCTTCTTATACGAGCTCCACCACCAGCATGTATGAACCATGACCATTTGTTATTAAATCGTGCGTCGAAATCAAAACCTGTATACTGGCATGTCCATGGTCCATACATGCTAAAACAAAGGGTTGATAAGCGTGACGCGCCGTCCCCATCGCCCTTGAAGTTTAGTGCATTGGAAACAGATGGGGAGCTAGTTCACTTTCCATTCAGAAAAAGGACGGGCTACAGGATGAAAAGCTCACTCTTGCATGGCTACAATACGCCATAAAACTGTCCTTTCCTGCTTGTTTTGATGCAACCTCGTTACATCTTTTTCTTGTCCAGCAGGACATAGTACCTTCTAATAGAAACAGGATTTTCTACTGCTGCTGCTGCACATCCTTGCTGTTTAATGGATGGACAGCATTCAAGTTGCCTCGACGCTAGAGCATTGGCTATAAACCCATTGCATCATCATATGTGACAACGTCATCAGCATTGAACGGCCATCATGTCGAGCCAAATGGCATCATTCCTTTTTAATTGGTCGAGAGAATGCATACACGATGTGCGATGCCAACGGTACAATCCGATTTAGATTGTGCACAAGACCCTTTTGTTCTCGGTAGGTTTTTCTGCAATGCACCTTTTATTCCAGTCCACAGTGTGTTAATTTGGGCGCTTTAAGTGTGACGCACCCTTGTTTTGGGTCTCGTAGGGAATGACGACACTCGACAACAAGCGTCTATCCGCCTGTCCCGCAGTTTCTAAAGCGCAGCGCAACGGCAATTGCTTCTCTGACGCGCCTTGTCTCCAGTCTCTTTTCTTTCTCATGACGGTGACGATGCAGACACACGTAAATCAAATCAAGACGTCTCCACTGTCGCTTCGGGCCAAACCACAGACTTTAAAGACCCATACAAAGATCAAGACACAAGGCAAGAAGAAGAAGAAGAAGGAACCAGCCACGAGCGCTCTTGTGCTTGTCGCCATTATCTTTCTTGGTGTATTATTGACGCTTGTTGTCATGGCTTTTTTTGCCTATGCACCGTTACTGTGTGCATCGTGGCTTGGTATTATGTACGTCATTGTGCTCTATCTCTCGACAGAATCCAATTGGCGGTGGCATGACGCTCAAGAGTTTGAAAATCGTTTCTGGACTGGGACTGCTTTTATGTTTAGTGCTGGTGTTGTATACATTCGAGACTCACCACTTGCAGTGGGTCAATGGAATTCGACCCTTGGCCTTGTGCTTGTCTTTGGCTTTACAATGAGCGTCCATTATTTTGACAGGTTTTTACACCGACAAGAGATTAGTCGTAGACCGAGACTTAAAGAAGCTACAAGACATTTCTCACATAAGTTATTCAAGTACAAGGCCACAGCAGAAGAAAAGACAAATCTTCTTGTCGAGTGTGTAGGTCGCATTGACCGCCACTATTTACCCAGTACTATTAATAATATGATCAATCTCGCAGAAGTGAAGCGCCGTGAGCACAAGATCTTTCGGATTCTTGCTGGAGCAGGGAAGGACGAGCTGAATTACGTGGTGAACCACATCCCACTGGCGCTACTGTTCTACAAAGTTAAAGATCACTCGAGAATGCGCGAGGATCAGAGTCGAACGCTGATGCTCGACTTGCTCTGCATCACGCGATTAGCAGATCTATCAGTCATGTCTCGAGCATTGTTGCTGGACGCTCTGATGGTGATGAAGATCAGTGCACACCCAATGGCTGAAAAGTGGGTGCGCAATATTATTTTAAAAACGCAAGGGGACGATCTAAGTAATCTCAAGACGTACACGGATGCAAAGGGGGACTTTCATAGTATGCACAAACTGGTATTTAACGATATTCGTGACCCGATGATTCGAGCTGACATTCTGAGTCACATCCAGCGCGAAGCAAGTGTGCAAATTGCGCACATGCGTCTCGGAACGAAACGCGGCCGTAGTCGGAAGCAGCAAGCGTGGCGCAAGGTACTTAGTGATGTGGACGATACGCTCTATTCTTCAGGCGGACGGTATCCAGCAGGCTTGGACACGCGCTACCCGCGACATACGCTGTATCCAGGAGTATTGCCATTTTATCGCGAGCTGGACATGGGCACGGTTGGTCCAGATGACTGGACTGACGAACGTGTCGGCAATCTTGTGTTTCTTTCCGCGCGACCACACGTGTATAAGGATATGTCTGAGAAAAAGTCGTACGCAAAGTTTGCTGCATTGCACGAAAAGATGGGCATGCACACGCTGCCTACGATGCTTGCAGGTAATCTGAAGTCAGGTCGTGCTTTTATGTGGCAAGGTGACTTGGAGCCAATGGCGCAAAAGAAATTTGAAAACTTTAGCGAGTTTTACCAACTCTACCCGGAGTTTAAACACGTTTTTGTCGGCGATAACGGGCAAGCTGATCTGCGTGCCGCCGAGCTTATTGTGGAGAAATTTGGTTCTGATGCTTTGGAGGCGGCTTTTTTTCAGCGCGTGCAGCCCATGGAAAAAATGTATAACTACCACTCGAAAGAGGACTTGGAGCGTTGGCGCAAAATGAATATAATTTTCTTCGATACGTACGTGGGTGCAGCAGTTGAGGCTTTTCGTATGAAGAAGATTCGACTTAGTGGGCTAAAGAAGATTGCTGATGATGCTGGATTGTCATTCGAGAGTATTCATACGTGGCTTACTCCTCAAAGTCGCGAACGTGCAAGATTGCTACTCAACCGTGATCTCGCCATGGCAAACGCGCTGCTATCTAAGAAGTATGAACCATCACCTCTCGTTATGAAGCCTCAATTGTTTGCTCTAAACTTGCTTGTCCGCACTCCAATTGGACGTGGCATCATTCGCAAATTTCGTGGGACCGATGGTATCTATCGAGTGGATTTGACAGGATGGCAGCCAGCAACAAGAAGTCAGAAACGAGTCCAAGCGTTTTTCACCGAAGACAGCCTCAAAGCTTACGTTAGTTCGGACATATCGCCTATAGCGAACAGCTCTTTACATTATGTCAAGTTTTACCCACCACAACCACCTGTGCGACTTTTTGCATCACACTCGCTGGTAAAAACACTGTTTGGTATTGGTCGTGTACTGAGTTACCGCGCACAAGATGGCATTTACACAGTATCTATCCTCGGTGACCAGAACATGCTGCATATGACGGCGTATTTGAAGGGGGATTCGCTGGAACCTGTGGATGATGCATTCTTGAAGAGCTATACAACAAACGGCTCAACGTCACCGCGAATGTTTGCTGGAGTGCGCTCTGGTATCGGCTTTATTACGAAGAAGCTGATCACATTTGTACCTGGTGCTTCTGGCGTGAAGCCGTTGTTTGCGGTGGCGGGGGTTGTAAACTCGCCTTTTGGGCGTGGCGTGGTTGTCAATTTTCGCGGAGAGGACCGTGTTTACGAGTTACGACTGTTGCGCAGCGAGTGCAAAACTCGAAGCGGTGATTTGGCGTCACATGTAAGTGCGTTTGTGCAAGAGCGGTACCTGCAACTCGGCCCTGTGCCACCTCGAAGCTTTTTATCCATGTTTGGATTGCGTACAAGCAAGAACGCAGTCGTACCAGCGGTAGAACCTGTTCCGATTGGCTCTCGTGTTACGACAATATACGGCAAGGGTATCGTTTGCAGCTATCGCTCAGCTGATGATGTCTACGCAGTTGCACTGACTGACTGGACTCTTGCCGACGGCAATGACGTGATGGCCTATCTTACAAAAGACTTTGTCACTCCTGTTGATGTGGCCTCGGAAGTCGATGTAGTTACTACTAAGGAGGTATCGACGGAGAGAAGAGTTCCTGCTCCTTCGGGAAGCGGTGGCATTTTCCAGATGTTCCGTTATAGCTTTACGCCCTCTGATGCGGGTACAGTTGAAGTAGTTGCCCCATATGCTGATGAGGCTGGCGTCAAGCGTCAGATTGATACCGTATTTGGTCTGGCCAATACAGCCATGAGCCAACCGTACCACGGGTGCCTTAAGGCTACTCTCCTGAATTCTGATTATGAGGGGGCCGTTGTTTACGTCCAAGCAAGCAAAGTGAAGGAGATTCCGGCGTCTTCAACGCGTGCAAGACGTAACACGCTCGAGTTACTGGCGAGCCCATTTAGCTACCTACTTTCCGGTAATGCGAGTGATCTAGCTGAAACAACCGACAAGAAGACACTTTATCCAATGGGGTCATTGGTAATGACACCGTTTGGTGAGGGCACTGTACGATTGCATCGACGCACCGACGACATTTACGTGATAGATTTGCCGTCAATGCACGGTTTCTTTCATGTGAGCAGCCTCCAGCGCCCTGTGCGTGGCATAGTTGGGCAGCCAGTCGACACAATCTATGGATCGGGGATATTGGAGCAGATTCGCGAAGAGGACGGAGTGCACGTTGTAATTCTACGGCTTGGCTTAACTACTTCAGAAGCTCGTGCGTACCTGCATCCTCCTAACGTAATTGGGACTATCAAGGCATCTCGTGGTGATTTAGTGATGACACCTTTTGGTTCGGGTGTCGTGATGCAGTTTCGTTCGCACGATGGCTATTATCGCGTGGCTTTGGACTGGGATTCTGACGGGGAGAGCCACATCTCGGCCTACATCAGTGAGGACAGTCTCGTTCGCACCGGTTTAGTCGATAAAAATCCACCGGGTTGCATCGTCATGTAAAAAGTTTACTAAGCTTTACCAAGTACAGTTTTGGATCGTAAGGTGCTGTCATTTTTGCTGGCGTTGAACGTGAAGAAGACATGTTGCTGAGTTCGCAGACGAGTTCCTTCCAAACATCCTCTCATGTTTCGACTCGATACTACAAACGAATAGAATCAGAAGTCAAAGAGAGGATCGTCAAGTGAGTCTCACAGCAACACAACTTCTCTATCTCTGGCATTTTGGCAACAACATTGCAGCCTGTCATGCAAACCGAGACTTGTTTTTAGCCTCGCCAATGACCAACAACAAGAGACTTGCTTCCCAAGTTCAAATTGACGAGCGTTTGCTTTAATGCGCACGCTTGTTGTGCGGCAGCACAGCTACTCGAATATACTCATGGTCGGTTATCTTGAGAAAAGGGTGCCTTGGTGCTCTGCGTCATCCCTTCACCTCACACAATGCTCACTCCATGACGAGACCTGCAGTTCTTAGCTGCCTCGTGTCGACCCACCCCTTCAATATCCAGCTATGCCGTTCCTACAAAAAGCACAGCTACAGTCCTCATCGAGACATGCCTTGCAACCTCTAAGAACAAAAGAAGAAAACAATACAATTCCAATTCACACCCACCAGTAACTGCTTCTGAAGGTGCTGATACAATTAAAACCTTCTCCTTCGTCGTAGCTGGAGACAGTTGGCAGTAAACCAAACACTTGGTCTTCACAAATCCATTCGACATGTTCTTAACTTGTCTATCAAGTGACATTCCCTTTTTCACGCGCTCTAGACACAGTGGCATCTCTAGTCTGTAGTCGTATCATCCTTACTATTTGACCACAACAATGCAGAATAGACTTGTCAACGTGGTCCCAATACTTCCGAGGATAACTGTCATTCTTGTCGCGAGTCCAGAAAGACGAGGGATTTCTTCCGTTCAACCTCGTCACCAGTTACACAACTCGACGACGTCGACATGGAACGCAAGCTTTTGCGAATGCTGCTGCTCTGTAAACTCAACATACTGCTGCATTGTCACTTGTTGTCCATGTACGACGATCGCATCGGTGGAAGAAAATTTGGGCGGATCTTACGACCAAACACTGCTGTACTTTGGTGGATTAGCGTTGGGATTTTTCATGTCAATTGGATTCACTTCAAGCAGCTTTCATCATTCCAATGGACGACTCGGATCTATCAAATTCATCATGTGGATAGCCATTTCAGCCGTGCTTTTGATGATGTTCCTATTTAGTGTGTGGAGACTCCGGGCACAAACTCGACAGAAGCTTGGCATTCATGGCTCGCCGTTCCTCGACTGCCTCTCGAGTTTCTTCTGCTGCTTCTGCGTTGTCTCGCAATTGTATCTCGAACTCAAGTGTCACGACAGTCACCCGCGGCAGCAACACTAAATCAAAGGAGCCAAGCAGGCAACACGTTTACTTCGACTGGTCCTGCTGACACGTTGGCCCCGTACGTGGCCATGTAGTATGCAATATACCATAGTATGGACTGTTGAGTGAGCGGTCCATCATTTTGAAGGCTTGTGACGTGGTACATCCGCCGCATGAGCCCCCATTGTATTTGAGCAAAATGACGGCGACAATGCTAATCTGTAGCCACTGGTAGCGGGTATACCACGGTTTCTTGCCGAAGCCGTGGTGGTGGGAAGTGTAGAGGCCTCCACGAAGAACGCAGAGCTTTGCTGCGTAGGTGTCTGGAGTAAGTCGTAGTGGTCATCTGAGTAAACGTTACGTTGAACGTTTGGCTGGTGTTGACTTTGGTGAGCCTCATGCTGTCGCATCAGCTTGCGACGCTTCCACCAGAGGTAGCAGTACGCGACTCCCATCAGGACAATAACAACCATAGTCACAATGATCACGTGCATCCACCACTGCCAGAAGAAGCAAGGCTTATTGGAGAACGAAATGTAGCTGCTAAGCAGGCTCCTCTTCCTGTCCGTGGAGCCAACACAGTCACAGAAGTCCTTGTCGGCACCCACCGTCTCCACCTTGATGATCTTGCTCGATGTGACGCCGTTCGGGCAGTTATCTGCTACTGCGAGACCCACACGCTCATTCTCCCGATCGTGCACTGTGAAAAGACCATCCATAAACACGTTGCCGAGCAACGTAAAGGCGCCCTCGGAAATGCCAAACACGCGGCATGCCAACTCATCTTGACCAGCGGATATCACAAGCGGTCGCCAAATGTACTCTGCCGGAATAGTTACGGTCATCTGCTGCAATTTCTCATCGTCGACTGCGAGTGAAATTGTCAAGCCTGGTAGTGAGTGGATGATTGAGTTGACGTTGGTCGGGTCGCATTCACTGGAGCAGCACGCTGAGCCGTCATTAAATAAAAAGTCGCTGATATCTGACGTCACCTCCTCCACCTGCGATTTTAGTTCAGCAATTACTGCATTGTATACACTCGAAGGGAATATCAAATTGCTGGACCCCGAGTCAATAATGGCTCTGGGAGAGTTAATCATCTTGCAGTCCAGTCCAAGACTCTGTCCATTGATTCCAATGTCAGTGACGATAACATTAAAGTATTTCTCCTGCACCAACGGCGTGTAAACGATTTCGCCCTTGTAGTACCTCTCTCTGTTTGGTCCTTCCATTCCTCCAAGCAGAAGCTCTCCAGCATAGAGATTCGTACTGTCTGCCATTAACACGCTGCTTACGTCCATCAACTGCAGCACTCCACACATCTGGAGACTAAAAATATTGCTCAGTCCATAAACACTCTGTACATGATCGAAATACGGCGTCCGAGGGTCACTAGAAGGCGATGCAATGGTCGGATACGCCAGCCCAATAATGCCATCAAAATCCCCCGACGATAAGAACCCGTCCTCTGATGTAATTTCAGCAAACGGCATGTTCTTGACAATCCCAAGGCCCTGTCCAGAGAAAACATCAAGCACCAATTGACCCGTCCAGGAGCCACTAACGTAATTGACATTAACATTTGTGCCCTGATCCACACACGTGCTTGAGTCCGCACACGAATATAATTTCTCATTAGGAAGTGAGCAACACTTGGCCGTAGCTACTGCAGTATTAGCTGAACCCGTGTCGAGCAAAAGATTAAAAGCATTAGCACTGGAACTAGGAGGAGAACTCGATGAGTACAATGGAGACCCAATGTTTACTTGGACATAGTATGCAAGACCGGATGGTAATCCCCAGAGCTTTTGCTGTAGAATCTCGTTGCTAGTTACGACATTCCATGACTGTAATAGGTTCAATAGCGTTGATGCTGCTAACACCACCTTCATGGACACTGTGCAGGAGCCTATTTTGTGCAGCTTTCATCACTTTTAATTCGATAACCTGTGATAACGTATATAATGTATTTGGTGTGGCACTATAAGTTCAAGATTAGTTACCTCTGAGAAAATGTATACTGCAAAAGGGGATGCACTGGACTGTGCACTTCACATATACTCGCTAGGACATTAACGAAGGATCCATAGGATGGAGATTCAATGTTCTGTATCACTCAAGCAATTCTACGGCTCGACAGGATGGCTGGCGCTATGAATATAAGGTACTGCGAGCCCAAGGATATCGTATTTAAGCAGATTTGAAGTGCAAATGAGACGGAGCCACTTCAGTTTGTGTTTTTCACATCAACTCTTAAATTCGCACCTTATATCTCCACTTAACTCCGTCTCTTAAGTTCGCACTCCGTCATCTCCCCAATATCTCTTAATCATGATGAAGAAGAGCGTGGTCAAGAATCGCGCACCGGCGCCCATCCAGATCACAGCAGAGCAGATTCTTCTCGAGGCGAATCAGCGTAAAGAAGAGTTTGCACAGCCACCACGTCGTCGTATCGCTGATGCCGGTGAATTGGCCGAGTACCGTATGGGTAAACGCAAAGCGTTTGAAGACGAATTGCGACGCCAACGTCATCACGTGGGTACGTGGATGAAGTACGCAGCGTGGGAAGAGAGTCAGGAAGAATTTGCACGTGCACGAAGCATTTTTGAACGAGCATTGGACGTGGATTACAAGGCCACGACGATTTGGCTTAAGTACGCAGAGATGGAAATGCGTCATAAGTTCGTTAATCATGCGCGTAATGTATGGGACCGAGCTGTGACGCTGTTGCCTCGTGTGGCACAATTCTGGTACAAATATGCCTTTATGGAGGAAATGCTGGGTAATTTAAATGGTGCACGACGAGTATTTGAGCGCTGGATGGAGTGGCAGCCGAATGATCAGGCTTGGTACTCGTATATTAAGTTGGAAATGAGAGCAAAGGACATTCCACGAGCAAGAGCATTGTATGAACGCTATGTCATGTGTCATGCAGGTGAAAAGGCTTATATTAAGTATGCCAAGTGGGAAGAACGGTCGCAAAAGCAGCTTGCGTTGGCTCGAAATGTGTACGAGAGAGCATTGGAGGAGCTACGCAGTGATGAAAAGACTGAACAGATTTACTTGGCTTTTGCACTCTTTGAAGAGAGATGTCGTGAACTGGAACGAGCAAGAGCGGTGTTCAAGTACGCACTAGATACGCTGCCGAAGGAGGACGCACCAGCACTTTACAGTGCGTTTATTACGTTTGAAAAGCAACATGGTGACAAGGATAGAATTGAGGAGGTTGTGATTGCCAAGAGACGTGTTGTGTACGAGCAACAGGTGGCTGCTAATGCGCTGGACTATGATTCGTGGTTAGAGTACATTAAGCTTGAAGAAAATGAAGCTGTGGGATCACAGTCGTTCGGCCTTGTGCGGGAAGTGTATGAGCGTGCGATTGCAAATGTACCGCCAATTCCTGAGAAGAAATACTGGCGCCGGTATATCTACCTTTGGATTAAATACGCGTTGTTCGAAGAGCTGCTGGCGGGAGACAATGATGACAGCGGTAGCTCGTCGGAGCGCTGCAAACAGGTGTACCAGACGTGTCTTAAGCTGATTCCACATGAGAAGTTCACATTTGCCAAGATCTGGATACTTTACGCCAAGTTCCTCATTCGCCAGCGTGACGTACAAAGTGCACGGATGACGCTTGGAGAAGCCTTAGGTCGCTGCCCGAAGAAGAAGCTTTTTGCAGGCTACATTGAGCTAGAGCTCATGATGGGCGAGATCGACCGTTGTCGCAAGATTTACATGCGTTTTTTAGAGTTTGACCCGCAAAACTGTGATTCGTGGCAGAAATACGCTATGCTTGAGAGGCAGGTCGGCGAGGTCGAGCGAGCGCGTGCAATATACGAATTGGCTATCAAGCAGCCAGTCCTGGATATGCCCGAGATGATCTGGAAACACTACATTGATTTTGAAATTGAGAACGATGAGCGTGACAACACGCGTGCACTCTATGAGCGATTGCTAGAGCGCACGAAACACGTCAAGGTTTGGATGAGCTTCGCCCAGTTTGAAGCATCGTCGTCTGACAATAAGAATGCTCAAGGCGAGAATCTGGAGTCAGCACGCGATGTATTTGAGCGTGCGCTGCGATATATGAAGGAGCAAGGTGGTGATGAATTGAAAGAAGACCGCGTCTTGTGCATGGAGACATGGCTAGAGATGGAGAAAAAGGGTGGAGACGACATGATGATCCAGAAGGTTAGCGATATGCTGCCGCGTAAGGTCACGAAGCAGCGCATGGCGTACGCGCAGGATGGGGTACGTGTTGATTCACTATTGTATAGTTTGAACAGTCCCTCTCATTCTTACATTATGTTTGCATCTCTATCGCATAGACGGAATTGGGGCTCGAAGAGTATGCAGACTACATTTTCCCAGACGATGAGCAGGCTCAATCGCATCTCAAGTTACTACAAGCCGCACAGCTGTGGAAGCAGAAAAAACGTGCACGCGAAGAGGTTGTAACAGCAGGAGAGACGACGAAGGATGCTGTGGAATAACTAGAATTCTATTTTCTTACGTGTTGTTGTTATCTGTAACGGTCTCAGGTAGGACGTGCACCTTCTCATTGCAGCTCTCAATAACTATTGGACTTTGTACCTTGTCACAAATCAATTGACTTGAAAGTGTTAAAGCGATGCATCTTTCTCAATGTTCCCGGCTGTCTCCTGGCCACGTTACGCGTTATTTCTTCTCGCCAGTCAAGTCATATCGTAGTGCTCGATCTCCTCTTGGTCGTAGTGCCATTATCGGCTCACGATTTGCTTCCACAGCTCCACCACGTCATGTCTTTGCCGACTCTTCGGTTGGTATTGGCAGTCTTCCTTTAACGCCTGAAGAAACACAAGCAGAACGTGAGCTCCTTAGTTCGTTACCAGAGTTTCAAGAGGCAGCGCAGGTACTTTTGGGTCAAGGAGGAGACGAAGCACGGCTCGTGCCCAACTATAAACGAGCCGAAATGGTGTTGCCGAAGCTTCAGCGTACAGTCGAGATTTGTCGCTCGACCATGGGCTTTCAAAGCGTCTACTTGCAAGCAGCTCTACGTCACTTGGTGGCCACGCTCTTTGTAAAGGGTGACATTGTAAAGGCCAGAAAAGTCATGCAGGAACGGGGTGACGTAATGCACTGGCCCGTGGCGGAGCATGAGCGCATGTTGCGTCTATTGCTACGCTCAAATTTACCTAAAGAGGCCGAGACGTGGTGTCAGAAGGAAGAGTTCACGAACCTGTATCCGAAAGACGATATTGTACCGTTAAAGTGGACGTTGTACGAGTTAATTGGCATTGCACTGAGTGGAGGAGCCGAGGAATTGGCCAAGGCAGTGGGTGACCCGTTGTTTGTTCAGACTGTGGAGAAGTTGAGAGAGAAGAAGGATGTCGTGTTGAAACATGAAGAAGCAAGCAATTTGAAGGCGAGTGAAGTGCAGTTGGGACGTGAAATCCCTTATCTGTTGGCACAGTATGCGTCGTTGTCCGTGGCTAGCACGCGAGCGCTTCCAAGAGACCCCAAGGCAGATCCCAAGAAACCTATGACTGATGCTCAAGTAATGAGTTTGAATCAGGCTGAGGTTCTGTACAAGGAAGCGTTAGCGTGGGTGGAAGAAACTGTTGCTGAAAGCAACAAAGACGCCTTGCTGGCATCTGGACCAAACGCTCCGTTCGGCGCATGGGTTGAGACCAACATTGGCGAGCTGCTGCTGCGCAAGAATAATCCTGATGACGCTATGGAGTGGCTGGGAAAGGCTATGGGAACGCTGCAGGCGGCGCAAAACGGTATTGGATGCGACGCACTAGCGATGACTCGTGTGCTTGGATTGATTGCGAGAGCTAGTCACACCATGGGCCAAGCTGTAACGAGCGAAGGCCTGTTTGTTACTGTTGTCGAGTCATTCGAGCGCGAAGCCTATCTATCTTCGACCGATCGTGTCGAGTTTGCGCGCGTGTTGCGTGCCTATGGCGACTTGTTGGCTAATTGGGAGAAGCGCGAAACTGATGCTGCGAAGAGATATGAGCAGGCTCAGCGTGTTGAGCATGATCTTGCTCAAATGTGCCAAGCCAACCAAAGCATCGCCGCGTTGCACCCCATATTTTATTTGCCTTTGTAACGGGAGACGTAGTTTTGGTAGCTAAAGAAAGCTGCCTTTGCTGCTCAAATGTTGTCGCTTATTTGCTTTTCTCGTGTCTGCATGTAGTAAGCGAGTGTAGACACCAAAATCGATCATGTAGCACGACAGCATTGCCGACCAACTGCTTGACAAATCCTTTGGTGCTAACATAGTATAGTAGGCAGTCTGTTAGTCCATGTCAACGCCAACATAATCGTTACGGTATGGAGGACTCTGAGCATGTCGACGTGTAGGCTGAACACCACTTTGAATAATTCGTTCCGACCCCGCCAAAGAGATCGCACAAAACAAAAACAAGAACGCTACTCCCATCTACGACGACGAAATTGAGACGCCTGGTGTGTTAGCAGTTGACAACAAAAGATCACCACGTCAAAACAACGTACGAGAAGCATCCACGGTATCACGATGCTGAAACTGGACATCGATTTCCCTTCTAATCGTTCTGTCAATAAAAAGAATGGAGCAACTAGCATAAAGACGACACCAGTTGTAAGCACTGCATCCAACAATCTGTACGTCGACGTTGACTCGATGTACTTCTTAATGGGATACCAAAAGAGGTAGACCACCAAAATCCATACAGGAATCAACACTCGCCACCAGCTAGCATCCTGTAATCTTCCGTCAGCTTTCATTCCAATCAATAAGGTCTGAACAATGCGCAGTAGTGACAAACCCGTCTTGCGCACTACTGCCTTGAAAAGCAACTGACGTTCTGTCTGAATGTTCTCTATCTGTGAGATCCCAGCATTGACGCTATCATTTACGAGCATCTGATCCCGCAACAGGCCTCCAGAAACAGCCTCCAACACACTAAGAAACTCGTACGTGAAGTACGGAGTCAGAACTGTTACAAGGTTCCATTCCACGTCTCTGTCCAGCCTTAACACGATCAAAACTTGCACAATGAACAGCAGCAAGTCCTTGCAAAACGTATATAGCTTTCCATCCGAAAAGATCAGCAGAAACAACAAACTTCCGTAGTAAATTACGTCCAGTATCCACAGTGGAGTGAAGACCAAAGTCCACGAGCTCGAGATCAACTTGTCCACTCGAAGACAGCATAGAACTAGAAAAAAAAGAACAGCAGAATATCTTCAACTACATTTCAGCAATCACAGTAGTATCATTAGTTGATAGTAAGCAGTAGTTTGTACTTACTGGGGAATGCTAACACGATGAAAAAGTGTACTAAGGTGAGTACAAGAGTAAGAAATCGGCCTTGAAAACCAAAATGACTCACAGTCGTAGAGATATTCTGCTCATTAACATGTCACAATTACTTAGCAATGATTATCAAGAGATCTTATCCACGTACATCAACATTCCAGCCGCGGACGTTCATCAGGAGGTAAAACTTCACCGCTACTGGTCACACAGGAGACATTAGTGCAATGTGATTGGCTATCTCGGTCTAGCGTCAAATTCACGTAATTTACATCACTTTTCAGCCTTAATTAATGTACAAAACCTTAATATCAGTGTCTACATGTCAATTTGCTAACAATATGACTAAGGTGTTGCTATGCGGCGCTGTGCAGGGCCACTGGGAGCTTCTTTTTGAGCGTGTGCGCAAATTAAATGCAGCTGCAAAGGAAAAACCTTTTGATGCACTCGTATGTGTAGGTCGTTGTTTTCCTCTACCGATCGAATACGTGACAGGAGGCACGAAACAAGTCCCGGTACCTACGTATTTCCTGCCGGGGCATGAGATTGCGCATTTGTGGCAAGAAAACGCCACTCAGACGGAGATTTTTGACAAATTGAGTGCTGTAGAGAAACCTGTGAATCCAGTGGAGATTGGCAAGGGATTTTTCTGTCTTGCAGGGGCTGGAGTTGCTACTGTATGAGAGGGAGAGCAAAGTGCTGATAATGAGGAGTTTACTGACTCTGTGGTCGTGTATTGCCACTGTAAAACTGTACAGATTGCAGGACTTAAGGTGGCCTATGTGTCCGGTACAGAGACTCATGGTCATCAGGATGAAAAGGGAACGCTACTAACGTATTCAAAGGCATCGGTGCGTTGGGAAGATAGCAAGCTTTTCGTGTTGAAAAGAAGGACTTATGATATGTTGTCGTGTTAATGTAGGTTGATGTGCTAGTGCAGAAGCTTCTTTCTAGTGGAGTCCAGGCAGATGTGGACTTCTTATTCACGGCGGAGTATCCGATGAGCTTCCAGCTGCTCCTACCGGAGCAGCAACTCCCTCACGGCTTACAGGCGATGCGGGGAAGCATAGCCATAAGAGAGATTATGCAACATGTGCATCCGAAGTATCATATTACAAGTCGTGGAGGAGACGGAACCCGCGGGGACGTGTTCTACCAGCGGTTGCCGTATGTGAGCGAGGTAGCTGGAACAGGATGCAAGCAACTCACGCGACTTATTGGTCTTAGCGGTGCGAATACAATAAAGGACAAGACACGGAAATATCTGCATGCGCTACAAGTCGTGCCTTTTGCGCAACAAAGCGCCGAAGAACGCCAGCACGTGGACATTCCCGCAGGTACTACAAAGAATCCGTACCTTCACGCAATGTTGGACGAAGCTACCTCGTGGAATAGAGAATCTGATGCAAAAAGGAGAAGGATAGACCCTGCTGCAACCGGAGGTCTCTCTGCGGACCAGATTGAGCAGCTTACTACAAAAAGTCAAGGTGGTGCACAGTTTTTCTACGACCAGAAGCTTGCGGCTAGAGGTCAACGAAAGGGTGGATTGCTGCCAGGCCAGGACAAATTGCAACAACGGAGAAACAATCGTCCCGCTGTGCCGGAGCGCACGGAGTGCTGGTTCTGTCTGTCGACACCAACACTTGAGCGGCATTTAATTGTGAGTATTGGTCAGGAAGCCTACCTTGCCATGCCCAAAGGCGCCATATGCGGAGATCATTTGCTGATCGTGCCCATTGCACACGAAGCATCCACGCTAGCGCTAAGCAAGGATACTTGGCACGAGATGGAGCGTTTTAAGGCTGCGCTACGTCGCTACTTTGCTACGCAAGATAAGGAGCTACTGGTGATCGATCGCAATGTGGCTACGCTGGGAGCCACACACTGTCACTTGCAGGTCGTTGGTGTACCCAAGGCGAAGGCTGCCGCCGCTTGCAGCATCTTTAAGACGGAAGGAGAGAAATATCACGTCAAGTTCCAGGAGCTGCTGCATGATGTTGACGAGAAACCAGACAGCGGCGTGTCTACCGGCCCTTTAGAGCTTTTGCGCAAGCAGACCGACGGCAAGTCGTTCTTGTACGCCGAAGTGCCGAACGGCGAGGGCGGTAGCACACCGCTGCTGCACCACGTTGAAGGCAAACACTATGTGCAGTTTGGTCGGCACGCCGCTTCGTGTGTTCTAGAGATGCCGCGTCGGGCCAATTGGAAGTTCTGCGTAGTGCCAAAATCCGAGGAGGAAAAGCTCACGCAGACTTTCAAGGGCCAGTGGAAACCGTATGATTTTACACTAGAGAATGACGACGAAGATGAATAAAAATGGAGATGAAGAGTGGTCAGTGTAGTATGTTAATACCAATGGAAGAGCTGAGCTACAAAGCTATAGCGGATCCCTTTATTGATTTACTCTTTACTAAAGATCTCAGCTTGTCGATAAAATAGAAGGACGGAGGGACATTGTCATGTTTCCTCCGAAAGTCTCGGTCGTATACTTTTAAGTGGATTCCCTGTCACCAAATACGACGTTCCAGATGTCGGCCTTGCTCTGAGCCTGGACGGAAGATGTCGGAGCAGCTGTAGGATAGTTGACAGGCTTTGGGGCGGCTTCAGCAGCAGCAGGCGACTCGTGCAACGTTTCCTGAATCTGCTTCTCATAGTCTACACCGTAGATGTCACACCAAACTTTCTCGGCTGGCGTGACTTGTGGAGTGTTTGTCTTGCTACAAGACGAAGCGGCAGACGTCTGTTGTAGCACGCGTGTAGGAGTTGACGAGCTAATGCATCGTGCGGCGGCTTTCGGTAGTCGGCGTGAAGTGTTGGCCAGCATTTTGATGGATAATGAATGAGGTTGAAGGTGATGTGAGTCTTTTGAGTCAAATTGAAAAGTGAGGTGATCTTCAACAGAACATGTCCATAAATACTCCTTCCATTTTTTATATATAAAGTCTTGCGTTCTTTCTGATTGACTTGATCAAAGTATATAAATAGCGAGCGTGCATGGACAGGCGTTGCTACTTCAATGACGTGCGGTGACGAGCTCAGGTCGCCATAAACTAGTCCTGCGTAAGTCGCAGTTGCAGTTTGCGCGTTGAATGTTCCGGCTCTACAACAATCGATCCATGTGCGGCAAAAGCGTGTGAACAGAGAGATCTTATAGAGCTAGAGAGATCCATCAGAATAAAATCTCCCTTTCTTAGTGACAAAAGGTGATGAGACCGTTAAATACACGCGCCTACTGTATGCATGTCGCTACGGTATCAGCCAACGTCATCATTGTAATCGATTTGTTTGGATGCTGAACGTTGCGCTTCAGAAAGCGACAAATAGTCTGGCTATTTATAATGTATCGTCTGTACTTGCCTTTTATAACAGGTTTAACCGGTATTGGAGATCAGGAGTAGCCATTTGCAGTGCCACTGCGCACGGTTTTATCACATTCTATAGTCGGTCCGTCTCCCACGTCTTCGTATCAGAGGAATCTGAGTGGACTCAGAAATTCTGAGTCTACTCCACTAATTCTGAGTCAGAACTAACGCTTCCATGTCGTCATGCAGCCGTCCTGTGGGCATAGACTTGGCAGTCGCACCAGTTTCTTGCCCAGCGAGTTGCCCTTCTTGACCAGCACAGTGAACACGCCCGCACAAATGAGCAATGTCAGCAGTACGGAACGGAACATTCGCTCAAAGATAAAGCTCTGACCGCTGGTGCGATGCGTCTCCACGAGGAAGAAGACGAGCACAAGCCCCATGACCTTAGCCAGCGCTGACTCAAGACTTTCACCCTGCGTACTGAACGGCGACATCCTGCTGCGCGAAGTTGAGTAGCGTCCTAGCAATAGATCCAGCACGTCCTGCCGGTATCCGTCCCTAAAATTGTTGATGATGTAGCGCAGGCACGAGTTGTAACCATCCATAAGAGCGCCCTTCTTGGTACGCTTTCCGGTGCGCGTAAAGTCCGTCTTGAGTGCACCGGTACCGGCGTAGAAAAGGCTAATCGCGTCGGCATTGTTGCCCCACACGCGCTTGAACGTGCACTCGAGCTCCTCGAACGGCGAGCTGAGCACGTTTCCTTGCAGCGCTTCAGTTTCATTTAGCTGAAGCATTAAACTTCGCCGTCCGAACAGCGACTGACAAATAGCATCGGCAATTAGCGATAGTAGCAAGGGACACGCATAATACTCAATTGTTCTCACCTGAACGACGTTAGTACGGTCGAGGTTGTCCATGCAATTGGTGCGCACTACACCGGACTGATTGCTCACGACAACGCCATCTGCACCCTTGCAAAAGTATCTGAAACAAAGCACAATTAATCGCAAAGTTATGTATAGTTCAGCCGAGATACCTGTGCCACGTGCGAGGCTTTGCCTACCCGTGGTCCAGAAAATCGTCATCGACCTGCTTGATCAACTTTTCGAGGTTTTCCCACTTCATGTTGCGACACTCATGGTGAAAATCAAACCACACGAGGCGCACGGCAGCAAGAATGTGCGAGTCTTTGGTAGCGGCGTCGGCAATGGTCTTGGCCATGGCCTCGCCAAGCTTGAGCTGTTCCTTCTTCTTGTCGATGAGATTCACGAGCAGCACACGACCATAAAGCGACATGAGCTCATAGGCATGCTTCTGGAAGGCGGCCACGTCTCGTTTCATGTCGCCACCCTGGTAAACCTTGGGTGCGTACTTCATCGTAGCAGGTGAGCTCCAGAAAACCGGGATGGAGCCCCGTATCTGCACGAACGACGTCTGTCGACCGTCATCAAATAGACAGATCTGCTCCGTCTCGACAAAGTTGGCCACATTTCCATCATCATCGACACCACGCATCGTAAAGCGCATTCCCTGCCGTTTACACGACCGCCTGGAAATATACAGTATACGAAAGGACTTGTCTTTCAGCTTGAGTTGCTCCGTTAACTCAACATGTGCCTGCATCATCGGAGTCACCCACTCAAAGAGCTTACGCTCTACAATAACAGGAATACAAAATAAACTATCAGCTACGTCATCATCATCACAGTGACTTTAGCCAAACAACGTTACCAATGAACGCTGAGCATAACGATTTGTTCCAGAAAAAGCGGTCGTCTGCACGCTCTGCAATACTACCGACTTTGCCGTCAAATGCAGCAATACCTGCACAAAAAGCAGCGACAATACCAAGCCGTCAAGTCAGTCTCCTGTCGTGTATCAAATATCAGCAAATGTTCGTACGCTGTAGCGTGTGTGAAAGATCGAAATCCTTGGAAAAGTGCAGCTTCTGGGCTTCAATATCCGTCGTAATCATGTCAATATACGTGCGTTCGTCCTGCTCCTGCTGTGGCGTAAGCGTGGGCAAATTCTGCGTCGGAATGAGCAACAACTCGAGCTTCTGAACTAGACGAATCTCCGCATCGTCGACACCTTTGACCACGAGTTTAGACTGCGTCACTACAGCAAGATACGGACCACGTAGCAGCCAAAAGATGCCATAGATGGCGTCAAAAGCCATGCGACGGCCATGTACATGCTGATTATCCTTTAGATGCTTGATAGTCAGTCTAAGTGACGTGTCAGTGGATGACGAACGAGGAATCTGTAGACTTAGAGGATGTACGGGATGTAGAATGACGAGGAAATCATCCTGTACTACGAGCTCAAAGAGCTTCTTCTTGTCGACCGACGGCATCGATACGATATGGAGTCGGATTATATATGAAGCCGGATTATACTGTATACGGAGCCGGATAAACCCAACGACGAGACGAATATAACAATGTACTGTTTCGTGTTAATTGTCCGAAATGCGGATAAAATGGTAGTATCAAATTGGTACGTTTTTTATTATCTTTTTACCCTTTTTCAGACCAAATGTCACGAAAAGCACAATATCACGCTGGAAATGTGGACGGAGACGATAATCGAAAATTGTGCGTACAACTGTCGCGAAAGTCGCAATCGTGTCGACCTCTAGTCTCTAGGGCTTTAAACCCCCCAGCTCCAGTGATATTCAATGTCATTTGACTCTTTTCAAGTTCTTCTAGAATTGCCTCGCCCTCAATCTGTTGATGACGCATCCAAGCAGCAGCAGCTTCGTCTCGTGTTTGCAGTCCTGGAACAATCACAAAATCAAAGAGCATGCTGCCTACGACACCACCAATCATTGGACCAATGAAATAGACCCAGCACGAGTTGCTTTGTTCTCCTGGAAAGGCAATTGATCCCCATCCTGCCATGGCAGCAATCACTCGAGGTCCAAAGTCTCGTGCTGGATTAAGACACGCCTGTGTGAACGGTGTCATCACCATTGTAAGTGCAGCCAATGCTGCACCGACGTAAAGTGGAGCCAATGGCGTTGCTGGCATCCGTGGCGGAGGTTCTTCATTGTTTCCTTGCGCTCCAGCGGTTAAACTGGTGAAGGCAGCGACGCCAGTAGACTGCAAGGGATGACGAACAACACGCTGGACAAGTACGAATACGAGTGTGGCCAGAGCCTCGAGAAATAGAGCACTTGGGACAGAGATATCGTCCTTTTTCCAGATTGCCAAGTTTCCTTCTTCAGTAGCGTACACAAGCAGAGGATGCGGGAACGAGGCTCCAAAAGCGACAGCTGAGAGGGACGAATTTGCGGCACCTCGGACAAGATGTAAACGATTCTCGAAGCGCGCGATTGCTGATCCAAACATTAGATAAACTGCAAGTCCAGCAAACGTAGCACCTAGCACTTGAAACAGCATATACGCAGGAACTTTGTGTTTTGGGAAACCACTGGAGCTGTGAGGCGAGATCGCAATTGCTAGCGTGACAGCGGGGTTCAAATGAGCTCCGGATCCAGGGGACGCAATAAACGTTGCGAGCATGGCGGCAAAACCCCAGCCGAAAGCAACGTGTTCAATGGCCAAATTCATAAAGCCAGGGGATGTAAACGCCGAGGTGGCGATACTTGCAGTGCCTAAGAAGACGAGCACAAACGTCCCAACGAATTCCGACCCGCACTCGAATGCCAACGGCCTGAGCGACGCGAGAAGGTTGTTGCTGTCCATGAAATTGGCGCTCTCTTCGATTGCTTGGAAGTGGACGTGAGCGCTGTGGAGATGATCAATGACAGTTGAAACCTGCTACCAAAGCGCCTTCATAGCGACGCTATAGCAGTTTCTCGAGCGTGGTAACCGTCACCAGTATAAAGTTATGTCAACTGCCAGTGTACTATAGCTCACGCTGCAAAGCAGGACAGGCGCCATGCGGGTCATCCGGGTAAGATCTACAAACTTTAAGGTAGTATATGACTTGCTCGGGACAAGTGGAGATAAAGTAGTGGCGTGATGGTGATCAGTGTGCGTGCTGTTACAAGAAGCGGTCGACTGTTTAACGATGCTATAGTCCAGACAAATGCGTCCAAGAATTCAGCTTACACATCTCTCGATCCTTTTTGTGTCGGCACAGAGTCTGCGGGCACCACGTAGCCAAATACTTTGCTCCCAAGGAACGTCAGGTATGGCTCTACATCCGTGCCATCTTGCGGGATGAAGTTATATCCGTTCCAGTAAGCTCGTCGAGTCCACCCAGCAAGCTGTGAACACCGAAGCAGTAGATGCCCCTCGTCTTCCATCACGCTATCCACTCGACACAGCAAGTGAGCAACGCAGTCACGCAGCGCAATACTCTGGCGAGTTGCATGGATGATTTCCTGTCGCGCTATCTCTTGCTTGGACAATTTCTGCTTTTTCGTCGGCACTTTATCTTCGTTGGATAAATCCTCAAGCTTTCCACCTCCTGGAGCGCACACGGCAACATTAAATGCATCAAATTTATCCACGTCAGCTCCACTGCAGCCTCCAATAGCCAAGACTAATTCTTCCATCCCTCGGACGGGAACATTCAATACAAAGATGACGCCTGCTTGGTTCATGAACTTGGCCGTGTGTCGTGTGGCGTTCATAGAGCAGATGAATGTTCCTTTATTGTTGATAGCCGTAATCCACGAGATAGTCATGAGGTTGCACGAAGTGCCATCACTGCTACGTACGGACAACAGACACACTGGATTCGGATACAGCAGCCTCGAGAGCATGCCTTTATTCACTACCAACCAATCCATTGAAGATGTACTTGGGTTCACTATGTCGTAAGGTCAATGTGATAAAAACAGTCCAGCATAAAGTTTTAATATCGCTGATTGGCTGCTTAAGTGTAGGTAAAACACATAGCCGGGTCAAAAATACTAGTCCAACGTATCGTACTTAAATGAGTATACGTATATACCAAATGTAAGACCCCCTCATTAAGCTAAAGTTCGTATATAAATTAACTAAGTCATGGTAGCTGGAGACAAGAAAAAGGTGATGAGCATGGTCTATTACGACCTGATGGACATTAAATCGGATGCTACACCTGAAGAAATAAAAAAGGCCTATCGTCGGAAAGCACTTCAGCTACATCCAGACAAACGTGGCAACACTCCCGAGTCCCAGGAAGAATTTACACGCATGAAACAGGCGTACGACGTCCTGTCGGACCCGCAGAAGCGCGAAGTCTATGACCGGTACGATGACATTATTTTTGTGGTTCTTGTATGTACCCATTTTGATTGTTTTGTTATGGTAAAATGTGGAATAGAGTCGGTGAAGATGGGATCAAACTTATGGAAGATTATGGCAACATGAGTCCGGAACAAATGTCCGTCTTACTCTTTCGTTCTATGGGCGCGCTTGGCGCCAGGGGCAAATGTTTCCTCATTTTCTTGGTGTTGCTACTCTTTGCTTTCTTCCTGCTCATTCCAAGTACGAGGCGAATCGCTGTATAAATTGTGGTCTTACTTTTGTCGTACTAATTTGTTACATGTGTTAATGAAACTTTTAGTTTTCTGGTGTCTAAGAGCGGACTCGACGATCTCTTGGAATTGGGCGGTGGTCTGTATCCCACTATGGATCGTGGATGGTATTTATTACTGCTGCTTGGGCTGCGTGTACGCATCCCCGAACGCCGCAGCGGATCAAGAAGAAAAGACACACGAGAAACCAGTGCTCTACAAGCTCTATGCGTTCCTCAAGGCGCTGCTGCTATTGGTGCTGCAGGTTTTTCTGGCCTTGAAACTCAACGGAGATATTAGGTGGACTCTGATTGAGGTGCTGATTCCGTACTTTATTTACGAAGGTCTGAATCTGCTGGAAGGACTTGCTGGGGGAGTGTTGGGATACAACATGCTCACAAAGAACAGCGAAGGAGCTGGTGTCACACACACCGAGGACATAAAGAAACAGCGAACTGGTCTGGTTGTCGCTGTGACTAGAAAATTGGTTTTGAACGTCGCTCGGATCGCTCAGGCAGTGCTATTGGGACTCAAGGTGGACGGAAATCTAGGTGACGCCAGTTGGTGGCTTGTTTTCATCCCCGTGTGGCTCTACGTCGCATTCTTTGTCTCGTTCCCCGTTCGGAAGTATTTCCGTGCCAAGGCGAAGGCAAACAAGCCTGAGTCTTCTTCGTCGAAAGAGCAGCACACACATGACGCCTACACGCGCGAGTCAGTAATCGATGACGAGGCTGTGTCCAAATTTCCGCTGTGTGATGCACTCTGTACGATCGTCGTCATTTGCGCGCTCATGTCTCCATTTTTTATTCTATCGGCAAGACTGCAAGACGGCTCGTTTTCCAGTATCTACGTGTTGTTGCCTTGGCTTATTGTGGTATGTGATTTGATGGACTGCTCGCTGGTCGTAGTCACTTCGCTAACTGATTTTGCTGCAGGTCGGACTCGTGTTTTGCTTTATTTGCTGTGCGATTTCTTGCGTCGGCTTCCGCGACCCTGAGGATGGTGGAGCACCCGAGCAAGCTTCAGCGGAAAGCGTCAGAAACGCACCAACGGGTGAGGAAGGTGCGACTGCACGTGCAGATTACGTATCTGTCGATATGGATTGAGTTGCAAAGCACGGGCTTGCCGCGGAGTAGCCGGGGGCAGGCTCGAGGGTCATGTTTGCATCCTTCAGCTAGTTCGTTTACGATCTCTATCTTTATTAATGGATCAATTTTGTTTTGTTCTTGCTGCTGTCGTTGTTGCACTCCACAGTTGTTTGACTACCCAGTGGACGCAAGCAGAATTGGAGGCGACCAGGGCAATTGTACGATGATTCCGGGGATTGAAGATGCTTTGTCTGCGTCTTCACTTATCGATTTGCTAATGCAATCGAATACATATCATGTAGCTTCAACTAGTAATAGTTAAAGCTTGAACCTACCAGATTAAGAGCAAGAACTTATTGGCGGGGACTCTTATGCAACGTTGTCTTCAACTGTGATTTAGGAACACCTTTTTTTGCTGATGGCGTCAATATCTGTAAGTTGCGCACGGTACTTTGAGCGAGCTCACCGTCGTGTGGACTTGCTCGGACGAAGTGCTGAAGGCGTTTCTGATGGATAAAAGGCATGTTAAGATGCTTATCCCGTCAGAGGTGTCCCATCGAAAGCACTTTCAATATTCTATCAGCTAGGATATTGAACTGGCTAAGGCTGCAGCTCACAGACACGTGACTCATGGGATTTTTCTGACGTAGTTCCTTGTGTGCCGGTCTACTCGTGGTCTAGACTATCGGCGACAGTCATTACAGGAACAGCTTCGACCCATTTTTGGTTGTACCGATCTGAACGACTTGTGTCGGCTAGATGACATCCCAAGTGTGCACTTCATGCACACAACTTGCTTCTCTAGTCGATAGCTAACGTCCAAGCCTTGCGTGAGGCAAATTCATACAATTTGTACAACACCGCTTGCACCGTACGAGTTGACGGCTATTCCTCCTTCTCATCTTTCAAGAGACTCATATTCCACAGACTTTACCGCCAGCTCTCCATAAACTCGCTCGAGCATCTCAAGCACACTTGGTAAGATTGCATCTAATTGATACGGAGGCAAGAACTCGTCGCCCGTGGACTTGGCGATTGTTACAATTGCTGGGGGATTGTCTTCATCCAGTGTATGCGTCAAAAGAAATTGCTCCAGTTGGCTTACCATACGCTCAAAATCGTCTTGGGAGCTTTCGTGATGAGGTAGATCAAGAAAAGGCCCCGCTGCCCAAATCTCGCGTCGTGCAGCCTTGTCATCTCGATGGTCTTCCAGCACTTGGGTAAACTCGTCAAGGAGCTTTTCCGCATCGACATTGTCTTCATACAACGATATGATTTTACTTCGAACCTGAGCCCATGTTGACCTGCGAGTAATGGTATCCTCCATCGCATCAGCCGCTTTAAGTCGTTTCACAAGCTCGCAAAATGTCTTTCTCTCTGAATTGCGGTGCGTAGCTGCTATCACCTCGAGAGGTTCTCGCTTGTAGCGAACACAGGAGAAAAATCGCGTCACAGTCTTCACACCTACTTCCCCAATAAGCGCTTCCAAGTCTGCACACGATAGGTCAGAACAAGCAGCTAGAAAAGTGCAAATGCTACAACACCTTTGCGGAACGGATTCCAAGTAGAGAAATAGTCGAGATCAATGTCGAGAATGTAGCTCTTCGAACATTGTCGAGCATTGGCAACCGCTTCAATCGCTACTGCAGTCGCAAAATCTGACGAATTGATCTCCGTCACGAACAGATCCCAATACCTGCAACAAAGTAAGCGTTCACATATATACATACATACGAACCACTTTATCACACACACTTACCGACGAGAGGATACATCCAAGTCCTTCACCGGACAAAAGAGTTCGTCCTCTACAAAATATGGCAATTCACTTGTCACTCCCATTGTACCTACAGCAAGAGCCAGTCAATCGTTCATCATCATCATCATCTCTCTCCCTCCTCGTCCTGATGGCACCACACCGTTTATCTTGCGTTTTCCAATCACCACTTGTTTAAATGAACCTATTGGTATCTACAAGTAATTAGGAGACACCATTCCATAAAAATAGAGAAAAAAGTCTATTTTTTACCTGCATCGACCACGAAGGTTTCAACCACGTAATTTGCGTCACATGACCTGCATACACTAAGGGTAATAAAAACTCTGCAATTCCAGCTACTGAGTCATCCAGTATATTATAAAGCGTCTCTGGATCAAAAATTGTATCGGTTTCGATTGCAGGGGGGAAGGATAAGTCGGGATGGGCATCCACATGCACCACGTGAATATTAGAGAAAGACAAGCGACGTTGACGAATGGCCTACTCAATAATAACATTAGAAGTTAAAAATTGTCATCTCACTGCTGTAATTATTGAACGCACCAGGTGAATATCTGGTAAACAATGGTGGTGATCGTCTACGATCACTGTAATTATCGCCATAAATTACGGTTAAATTTAAAATGAGGTTCAATTCATTTTATTTCATTAGGTTTTTATTTTTTTCGATTTTTTCTATAAAAAATCATGTAATTTTACGAACAAAAAGTGAGAATGAATTTTCGCGCCTTGCAGTATACAAATTTCAAGTGGGTGGTCTGACTCAGTCATGAGACAGCGTGAAGTAGACGACGCCATGATGCCGGACGAACACGAACAGCACGAGCAGCAGCAGCACGAGCACAAACTCGAAATAATGGACGATCTACGACAAGATGGAGATGATGACGATGATGATGGTATCGGTGGCAAGCGACGGCTCTTTCGATTTAAACCTGCCTTTGATGTGGTCCTTGTGCGTGAAGTCATTCGGTGCTTCCCGTGGTCTGCAGGCTATGGACGCACACGTTCTGCGTGGATGAGTGTAGCTACACGTGTACAGACAACACTAGAGACTTTGAAAGGTGTGGTGTTTACACGAGGGAGTGCACTGGATCACGCGATCGTTAAACGACGTGTAGACATGTTGCTGGAAGCTTATCGGAAGAACGAAATGTCGGGATTGCGTGGCTCTGGCTCACCCGAGGAGTTTGACATGCGCAACAAGCTGCTGGCCATCTTGGCAAGAGTGGTAGGACGCTGCAAATTCGTGGACATTTGGCCTCAATTGACCGAGTTACGACCGTGTTTGTGCAGGTGGATGAGCAGACACTGAATAAAGGAGCGATGCGTGAAAAGCGCGTGCAGTCGGCGTTGCAGGTCGCACAACGCAATCTAGCAGAGTTGGAAGGCACCGTAGGCATGGTGATGCCTGCATCAGCAGACCTATCGCCGCCTCCTGCGGTTGCGACGCAGCCGTTGATGCCCATTGCCCCCGTACCAGCGACGTCTTTAGCTGTTGTCTCTCATGGCAATTCCAGTCCAGTACTGCCGAGTCTCAGTGCGCAACAAAATGTGCAGCAGAATGGCAGCAACAAACGTGCACTGCGAACGGGGGCTGTGTCTGTTGCTTCTCCGATGCAGGAGGTGAAGAGACCACGAGTGGAAAATACAGCGGTATCAATGGAAACGACACTGGACATGGAAGAACGGAAGCTGCGTCTTGAGGAAAGACGTGTGGAACTGGAGGAGGAGAGACTAGCCTTTGAGAAACAGAAGTCGGAACAGGACGAAAAGGAGCGCCAGGCGCTGCTGGATGTGCTGCGCGCACAGGGCTCCCTCGTGACAGAGCTGCTGACGCACTTGCGGAGCTCCAAGATATCCCCGAACACACAGGGCTTGTAACCTTGTCGCCAACTAGATCTAACGGGTAGATCCCTATCGAATTAGGTGAGATAGAGCTGCACACCGACCGCTACGAGCCCTAAGTGTCCAAAGCCATTTAGCATTTGAAAAGTATCCATACTGTTGAAGTCCAATGGCTACACTAGTTTGTCTAAGTCGAATTATTACTGGCTAATTACTGGGTTATCAATAAACCTATAATGAAATAACGCGTAGTATTCGCTAATCGGATTCTCTCCTATGCCTACTTATGTAATAATATGTTTTTCCTATCACTACTCAAGGCAATTTCTACTTCGTACTTAGTACATCCATTTCGGAGCACAATAATCGGTATACGTATACCTGAATATAATGTGGTACGTACACACCACTTTCCATTTGATGCGCACCAGTAATTTCTGTGCAAAACCCACCATCACTCTGCAATTCCGCACTCTCGGAGACGTCTATGAGTCCACACGCCGATATGGCATCGTCTGCTGCGTCCATGGAGGATCTAGAGAAACCCGTTGGCAGTGTCCAAGATAAATGGAAGCTTTTGCCGTATTTCCTGCAGCTTCGTGGTCTTGTAAAGCAGCATATTGACTCGTTCAACTACTTTACATCCGTCGACATGCGTAACATTGTCCGTGCACAGGCCAATAACGTCGTACGTAGTGATGCTGACCCTAAGTTTTTTCTACAATACACAGACATTCAACTGGGTGCCCCATCTATTGATGAAGAGGCTTTTGTAAGCGCTAGCGTCACTCCGCATCAATGCCGTTTGCGTGACAGAACATATGCTGCGCCTGTATACGTGAGTGTACGCTATCGACGTGGCAATAAGATTGTGACCAATAACAAGGTGTTGATTGGTCGCATACCTATTATGCTACGTAGTTCTCGCTGTGTGCTGGCGGATAAAAGCGAAGCGGCACTGGCCAAGCTCAAAGAATGTCCATACGATCCTGGAGGTTATTTCATCGTACGTGGCGTGGAAAAAGTAGTGCTTATTCACGAACAGTTGTCTAAGAATCGAGTCATTATTGAGGAAGATGGCAAGCACAATGTATGTGCTAGTATCACAAGTTCCACGCACGAACGCAAGTCAAGAACCAATATCTTTTTGAACAAGGGGCGGATGTACTTAAAGTCTAACTCGTTTGGTAGTGACATCCCTATTGTCATTGTTCTAAAAGGCATGGGAGTGGAAGGTGACCAGGAGATTGTGAGTCTCGTCGGCAGCGAGTCTGATATCTGTGACGCCATGTCGGCCTCTTTTGAAGAAGCTTCAGATTTGAAGGTCTTTACACAACAACAAGCGCTAGAGTATATTGGATCCAAGATGAATGCGCTGACTAAGATTGGTGCAATGGGAGGACGAAATCGTCGAGGCGATGGACGCCCGCAGCAGGACCGCAGCTTGGTCGATGCTGCGCGCTCAGCATTGGCCAACTTGGTGCTCAATCACGTGCCGTGCGACAACTTTAACTTCCGTCTTAAGAGTATTTACGTGGCACATATTGTGCGTCGCATTCTGTTCACAGATAAGGATCGCACACGGTTGGATGACAAGGACTATTACGGTAACAAGCGTCTCGAGCTGGCAGGTCAGCTGCTATCTCTGCTTTTCGAGGATTTGTTCAAGAGATTTAACAGCGACCTGAAGCGTCAGGCTGATATGGTGTTAAGCAAGCCGAATCGCGCATCGGTGTTTGATATTATCAAGTGTGTTCGTACGGACACAATTACCCAAGGTTTCTACCACGCTTTGTCAACAGGTAACTGGACGCTGAAGCGTTTTCGTATGGACCGAGCAGGTGTCACGCACGTGCTCTCGCGACTCTCGTACATGTCGGCGCTGGGCATGATGACGCGTATTTCGTCTCAATTTGAGAAGACGCGTAAGGTTTCGGGTCCTCGTTCGTTGCAACCATCACAGTGGGGTATGCTGTGTCCTGCCGATACTCCGGAAGGTGAAGCTTGTGGTCTTGTTAAGAACTTGGCATTGCTGTGTCACGTGACTTCAGACGAAGAACCGGCTCCGATTAAACGGCTATGCTTTGACTTAGGTGTGACAGATGTGTCTCTAAGTTCCGGTGAAGAAATCAATCATGCATCTAACTACCTCGTGATGCTTAACGGTGTTATCATTGGTACACACGTGAATCCGCGTGCTTTTGTCACGCGCCTGCGTCGTATTCGACGTGCTGGTCTCATAGGTGAGTTCGTGTCCGTCATGATCCACGACGTTCAACGAGTTGTGTACATCGCTTCCGACGGTGGTCGTGTTTGCCGCCCGCTGCTACTTATTGATCCAGTGACGCACCGTACTCGGCTAACACAGCGACACCTTGACGAGCTACGTGCTGGAGTGCGCAACCTCAGTAGTCTTATCGTGGAGGGTTGTGTTGAGTATGTGGATGTGAACGAGGAGAATAATTGTCTTGTAGCTTTGCACGAAAGTGAGATTGGTGACCGGACGACTCATTTGGAAATTGACCCAGTGACGATTCTAGGCGTTGTGTCGGGTCTTATTCCGTATCCTCACCACAATCAGTCTCCGCGTAACACGTACCAGTGTGCTATGGGAAAACAGGCAATCGGCACTATCGCCATGAACCAGTTCGAGCGTATTGACACACTGCTATATACAATGGTGTACCCGCAAATGCCCATGGTAAAGACCCGCGTTTTGGATCTTGTGAATTTCGATCACGTGCCGGCAGGACAAAACGCCATCGTGGCTGTTATGAGTTACTCTGGGTATGATATTGAAGATGCTATCGTTCTTAACAAAGCCTCACTGGATCGTGGCTTCGGACGTTGCATGGTTTTTAAGAAGTACCAGACTATGATCAAGAAGTATGCGAATGGCTCTTACGATCGCATCGTGGGACCGCCGGATTTTGACAGCTTAGCTGCTTCTGGTGGCGCTGGAATGGGCTTCCGAAATGCCAAGTACTCGTCGCTGGACGCGGACGGTATTAGCCGTGTTGGTGGTATCGTTCACAATGGTGCGATAATGATCAACAAGGAGCAGCCTACACAATTCAACGACTCGGTAGATGGTCGTGACCCGCTGGACGTTACATACTCGCCTTCTCCAACCACGTATAAGGGTCCCATTCCAGCTTATGTTGATAAGGTTTTGTTGACGTCATCTGAAGCAAACCATTTTCTGGTGAAGGTGCTGATTCGCCAGACGCGTAGACCTGAAATTGGTGATAAGTTCAGTAGTCGTCATGGTCAGAAGGGTGTGTGCGGAACAATTCGCAACCAAGAAGATATGCCGTTTAACGATCAAGGTATTTGCCCTGATCTGATTATGAACCCTCACGGTTTCCCTAGTCGAATGACTGTGGGTAAAATGATCGAGTTGATTGCTGGCAAGGCTGGTGTGCTTACGGGCCGTCGGGCTTATGGTACTGCCTTCGGCGAGAAGTACGGTTCAGCTGATCACGTACTGGACTGCTCACGTGAACTTGTAAAAAACGGCTTTAACTACGCTGGCAAGGACTACTTGACATCAGGTATTACGGGCGAGCCGATTCAATGTTACATCTTTATGGGGCCTATTTACTATCAAAAGCTCAAGCATATGGTTATGGACAAAATGCACGCTCGGGCACGCGGCCCTCGTGCAGTCCTCACTCGCCAGCCGACCGAAGGTCGCTCACGTGATGGTGGTTTGCGCCTTGGTGAAATGGAACGCGATTGTCTTATCGGTTATGGTGCTAGTATGCTACTCATGGAGCGACTCATGCTGTCCAGTGATGCATTCAGCGCGGATGTGTGCCAGGGCTGCCGCATGCTAGGTTACGAAGGTTGGTGTCAGCACTGCAAGTCTGAAGAAAAGGTGGTAAGCATCCGCATCCCGTATGCTTGCAAGTTGCTGTTCCAGGAGTTGCAGGCCATGAACATTGTGCCAAGACTGACACTCAAGGAGTACTAAACTTTTATTGTGATATCGGTTGTACTACTACACTCCTGCTGTGTAAGCCGACCTAAATGATGGAGCACAATTCAATTAATAGCACGGTATGTGGAGCTTATACATGACTTTCTTGGCCTGACCAATCCAGCTTCAATAAGGCACTGACACCAGCAATGCTTTTGAGCGTCTCGTCAAATATTGTTGCGCCACTACTCCTGTAAATTTCAATAATGCCCGTGTTGTCTTTTTGATCAGGTCCTAGTTCGATCAGCAGTAATCCTCTCTGATGTCCACAATCGCATACTGGTGAGATCACCCTGCTAGAAACAGTTCTTGTATATCCATGAACATACTGATGTTGTTTCCAGAAAACGGATGGTTACGAAGGCAGGTCTCTGCTGTTCTGTTTCGAATGTGTTGGGATTTAGTAAGCTGTCTGCTTGATGGTGCAATGTATTGTCGAATGCTGCGGTCTCCAAGTTAGCTGCTCTTGCTGCAACAGCAATTTGCATGGGAAACCCGCGCGTCGGACACATAAACTTGTGCCGCTGCGTGTTCTAGATTGAGTCGTCGCGCTGATGTTTGTACGAAAAGCTTCCTAAGTTTGACGATGTTGACAAACTCCAACTTGTGAGGGAAGTGGCGCAAAGAACCACCTTATTCTGCCAGCAAGTGCATTATTATCACGTACTCGGACCCTTTTCCAATGAAGTGAAGCGTTGTCTGTAGAATCGAATAAAAGGACAGCTTGCGACGTCGACATCATTATGCCGGACATTGTATGCCTAGAGATGATACGTTTTAGCAGCGAGAGTGAAGCTACGAACGTAGAAGAACCATTGCCTTTTCTTGTCATATTGACAAACGACTCTGAAGTTGTAAATGCTTAGTCAATGCATGTGATACATGTAGATGCTTATGACTGTGAAATGTAAGAGGGAAGGAAAGGTAAACAATCACAATGGATTCTTGTGAATCAAGAATTGAATTACATACAAGTGACACTAGTCTACAAGACTCGAAGAAAACAAACCGACTGAGGACCACGCTTGCAAGCGTGTCGGGTATCAGGTCTACAAAGTGCCAGAATAGACATCGAGCCGTATGGAAGACCCAGTTGCGTTCACAGGCTTGGGGCAGCCGAAAGAAGATTCCATGTCCTCCCGCCACTTCCCGTACGTAATTGCCAATTTTCCGCACTTGATGGCCTTAACGATGGACAAGCAGCGCGGTTCGTCTACCCCCCATGTAGCTTTGAACTCAGCGGTGTATTCGGGGGTACCACCCAGGCATTGGTCCTCGTACATGCAAATTTGACGCTCCAGGTCAGCTGTGACCTGAGGACACTCACCACCCATATCAGCCATCGTCTTGCGATACCAAGTAGACACAAGCTTTGCTTCAGGGCTTTTCTTGTCCACCACAATCACAGCGACGTTTTTGTTGTTACAGTCGTACTGGGGAGAGATTGTTGGAGAAGCTGTCATGGGAACCGCTGCCGGAGCTTTGTTGCTCGAAAAAACATTTGTGTCCATCACAAGATTGTTTACATCGATGTCGCTTTCACGAGGATTGTCACCTTGGAGGATGTTAACGGACCATAACCACCCGTACGCCGCTTCAAGTCTACGTCGGAAGCCCCAGCGGCTGCGAAGATCGTCCATCCAGCTCCTGCGATTAGGCTGCGGAGGCGCAACCGGTGAAGCGACTGGCGCTCTTATGACTGGTGATGGGGCAGCGGCAGCAGGCTGAGGGGCAGCGGCAACAGGGCGAGGCGTAGCGGCAACAGGCTGAGGCGTAGCGGCAACAGGCTGAGGCGTAGCGGTAACAGGCTCCGGTGTGGTCGGGGCTGCATTTGGTGATGTCGGAGTCGGAGTACCATCACAGTCGTTGTACATGTCTGCTAGCTGACCACTGAGCTCATACGAGTAGCTGCTTTCGCCCAGATCACGTACATCCATAAGCCCGGCATACTGGGTGGGGACATTTGAGAAATATTGACCGATGAGCGGGTCTTGACTTCCTGCAATCGGGTTTCTACCATTAACGCCAGTGCGCATAACAATCGCATCAGTCGGGTTGAATGAACCTCCGTCTCGCTTAGCACACGAAGACCAGGCAACGGGGTGGACTACTTTCTCAGCGAATGTAAGACGTTTGGTTCCAACGCGACACTTGTGATAAATGGTGTGAAGAGCATCAACCATGGAGTGATGCGACCAGAAGATCACGTCTGCTGGAGCAGACAACGTGCTCATTGTGCTGGTTAGACTCGAATGCACGTTGTTGTGGCAGCCCCGCTCAATACTGACTGACATTTGTCCAATGTTTTGACCGCTAAAAAGTTGTTGGCGGACTGACGCAAAGCTTGAACTACCTGGAACTGATGCTGCGTCCCAATTGGATCGTGGAACACATCGAGCGCAGGACGAGCCAGAAACAATTCCAGACTGACAAAAGTGATCCAGAGGTGACACGTTTACGCAACGTCCTGTGCATCGAACGCCGTTAATGGTAATTGTTTGCTGTCTTCCACGTGTGGAACCTCCAAGCTCGCTCATGATCGAGGAGCAGCCTCCAATAGAAGAGCATGTTCCAGCAAGTAAACGATTGTTGGCTTCCATCCAGTTCCAGTACGGTACTGTGACACAAGCAAACTGCGGACCTTGTCCACGAAGCATGTTCTCATAAACGAGAAGCAGCAAGCGATGCCAGAAGACGAACATGCACTGACGATGAGCTTCCATTTCCGACTGCATATCAGTGTGTATTTCAACGAATTTGATATAGGCACCAGAATCCATTGCAGCAGCCACCGCTCCCTTATACGTGTCCTTTTCAACCGTTGTCAGGTCATCCCAGTCCTTTCGAACTCGTGGTCCACACTGTTGCGCTTCGACCGGTGCAAGCATCGAGACAAGCACAAAGATGGCGGCAACACTAACCACGCACAAATTCTTCATGTCGATTCTGATGACCTTAATCAGGAGGCAGTGAGCAAGAAGACGTTAGATCAATTGATAGGAAATTGGAAAGTGACTTTTTTATCAATCTTTGCTGCTAGACATTCAAACGTAAGAGGCGGTAGACGGAAAAAGGAAAACCACCTTTACTCCTATGGTCATCATGACAGTAAAGCAACAACATCGAGTAGCAAAAACATCAAGTAGCAAAAGAATCACCAGGTGGTAGATAAGGTGTAGAGATTTTGAGATAAGAACTGTCGTAGGAATTCCCAACTAAAAAAAGGTATACAACACTTTATACTAGTTTCTGATACTTGAGCAAGAACTTGAAGGAGGCGATATTTTTTCCAGGTGCTGATAAAAAACACAGGTATGTGGATGAGCTGTGATGGCGTCAGCAGCTCTCTCTACCTTAGAACAACTGACGGTTTCTTACTTCGGACATCAATTAAAATCCGAACGTAGTAGATTGAATGGGCCTAGAATTGTTACATCACGGTCTTCATATGAAAATACGTGACAGCCAAGACAAAGTGGTGACTATTGCTACTGTAGGAAGGAATAGAATTACAATGCAGTCTTATGCACGGCGCAACCATTACACTGTTTACTCTTACATATTGTAACGCATAAATGGAATCGCTTTTTTCTTTCTGGAAGCGAAACCATTCCTTACTTAGTGACGGCGACTGTAGTGTAGCGATCGGAAATGCTGGTTGCTTATGACTGGCGTGTGAAAACCAATGAAGGAGCTTGTTGACTATTGAAATGTTGAACAGATATATACCTTGTTTCTCCAAGCCTTTTCATATGAACAATACACTCCAACTTTTTGCATTTTGCTGTCACGAAACACGAAGAAACGCTTTCGTCGTCGATGGTTCTAAACGCTTTTTTTTAAAAGATCAAGGAATGTAATCGTATTGCTCGACGCTTTCTAGGTCTTTATTTTAGTGATTAGCCACGTATTGGATTAAGACAAACATCACAAACCTGTGTTTAAAATACAGTTCGTCAATCTCCTCGGACGGGGGCAACTAAAACGAGTCATAATATCGTTGCGTCATGGCTTATACTGGATAGACTGCAATCCTTACTTGATACTGTGATAGTCTTTCAACGTGGCTCTTTTACCTACTTGATTTTTCTTGAACTCAAAGATGTAATGCTTTGTGCCATCGAAACATTAATTTTCAATTGCAAGCCTGGTATGTTTTTGGGCGACTCGTCATTTATTGTTTCGAAAGTCGCTTCGTATCAATCAGCCGTACGTGTCATCAAGACATCTGGGTTATAGTTTTTCTTGGCACGTCAGCTTCGATCGGGTTGCCTCATCCGTCTACAATGACGACATCCTTGTGACCACTATCCTCACCTGTATAGCCCGTGTGAATTATTAAATACCTTTGATGCTGTCGTTTGAAGCAACACTGTTCCATGTACACGACTTGCAAATTTATCGAGCCGCACAGCAATGCAGTATCGGTCCTAACGTCCGAACTGGTAGTCACACGATCGTGTACTGACGAAGCGGCCTGGACCGTGTTGTCGTGCTCCAACGGAGGAATATATTGCGCACTCTAACATATGAACACTTGATATTGCATAAAGGATTGAATAGTTGGCCATCATTAGGTTAGACGCGCCTTTGAACAGAATTTGTAGTTCTTAAAAGAGTCTATAGAAAAGGGTCGCCCAGTTTTCGAAAAGAACAAACATGGCATCATGCGGCGGTATGTAAGAAACTCTACCCGTGTGGACCATGCTTGGCGCATGGAACGCCTTTGAGTGAGGCAGCACGTATGGGTTTGCCAGACATGCGTAAAGCTCTATATTGAATGTCGTGGAGCTTCATCAGCCCTGCATTGAACTAATCACTATGTATAAGGCTTCACCCAGACATTGGGAATCGTTTGTGCAACACGCCTATACGATATTTTCACGCTTGATTACAATTCTTTTTACTTTGCGTGTTGCCGACTATATTTGCAGCTTTTATTTGTTAGACCACGCCAAACGATACGTCACGCAGGAATACGCAATGGGTGTGTCCTCACCTTTTTTTTACTTTGGGTCCTGCCTACTCTCTTCTTACAAATTTCTTTTGCTTTTCGTAGTCGATGCAGTTGTCACACCGTGTACAGATAAAAGCCGACTGCAACCTCGATGAACAGTAACAACAAGAGGCTCGGATTTCAACTATTGGTCTCTTCGTGTGTAACAGACCCAACGTTACATACCCGTTAAGTATGCGATACTTAACGGGTAGGTCTAAAAAAATCAGTAAGTACTTCAGACCTGTTGCTTGGGGAAGACACATCAGGTGACATACCCTTGCGTATTTAAGTAATATTCACATTGAGGGGGATGACGCCCAGCTGGGACTAGGAAATATCAAATGACGTCAGTCGTTATGTCATGAAGGGAGCTTTAATGTACACTCTGGGATGCGCATCTACAGAGATGGCCTCCATCATTACATATTATTGATCAGTAATATAAAATATATTTAATCTATATCTACTCGATATAAGTCAGTCGTAATTTTTTGACTGACGCTCACTGCGCACAAGAAGCTGAATAAGCTTCTGCGTAGTTTGTGTGAAGCTATTGCTTAGAAGTTTGTTGCGTGGTTCACTTCGTCGACGGCAACCGTTGGTGTGACCGCTTTGACCAAGCACCTCATCATCGCGCACGATGCTTCGACGTTTTAATTGCTTCCTTTCGTGCTTAGAGGTGTGTGTCAGCGTAGCACGTAGCAGATTTTTTGAAGTGCCCGTCTACACTCAGTAGCACTCGTAGTCCTTCCCACGACTTGTCTCCCCGAGCGTGCGTGTGAGCGTGGATGGTCCTCAACGTGGATTGGGGCGAATTTTCTCACCTCTTCCAACATCATAGGGAGTTGGCACAGCATATGGCGCAGGGACGTGGTGAACAAGCCCTGGCTAACCTCTTGCATCATCCTCCTAAGAAACATGTTGCTCATTTAGAGAAATTTGAGGCGTTTGTGCTCGGACAGCGTAGAAACGCGTCCGAGGTAAACAGTCAAGCCACCGCTGAGTCCATCAATAAGACTCAGGATGAGCTTAGGCTTGAGCAGGCACGGAATGAGGCGCTCAACAGAACTGTTGAGACGCTCTCTACCCGACCTGCTCAACCGAGGCCCATTCGGATGGACCCTCCGAAGTTCGATGGAACTAGCCCTCACACGATTGTTCACTGGCTATTAGCAGTGGAGCAATGTGGAGTGGTGCAGCTCATCGAAGACGACACCAGAATGGTATCGTATGCCATGTACAACTTGCGTGGCAAAGCGTCAGAGTGGGCATACTCTGCGCTGATGGCTAATGCTGATGCATTTACATCATGGGCGATCTTTAAGGCAAAGATTCGCGCCATGTATCAGCCGCCTAGCAACGAGGTTTTGCTTATGGCGCGCTTCTTTGGAGCACGACAGGCGAAACGCTCTCTGCAAGAATTTGTGCAGGAGATGCGTTCGCTGTCGGCGTCCATTTATGGGGATCCTATACCGGAACACATTAAGGTGCCTACGTTCATGAATGGAATACGGCATGTTCGATCACGTCAGGCCCGTTTTAAAAAGGTAACATAAACAATGGAAGAGGCAATTGATATTGCCATGGTTGAATTGCAATCCTACAACAGCGCCTCGGCGACAGGTTATTTATAAGCCGTCAGCCGAGAGGTCGGATGCCACTCCAATGGAGTTATGCAATGCAGAAGTGGTCTGCTACATGTGTGGCAAGCGCGGCCATATGATGGCTACGCTGCTATGCCAAACTTGCTACTGGTGCTAAGGCATTCAGAAAAAAGTCTCCCAACCCGAAGCGAGGTGCGAAAAACCAGCTTGCACGACGCACGGATTCAGCACCTGCCAAAGATGGGTCGTAAAATGTGGGAGCGCAGTGGGGGAGGGATTTCTACTGTCCCGGACTCTGAAGCTACCCCTAAGTTCAGAGTGATCGAACAAATGGGTAGCATAGTCCCTGAGGTTCCGAATGGTCGGACCTCAACCCTTTTGGTCTATAGCGCTCGAGTACGAGGCTATAACCAAGTGTTGACCGTTCTCGTTCATTCAGGTGCATCACAGAAGTTTGTGAAACTCGCGGCTCTGACAAAGAGTCCGGCAAGTTATGAGTCGCTTTGCAAGGATGCAAGCGAAAAGAGGCGGGCGTTTGATTAGCGAATGGCGCGCTCGTAAAATCGGAGGGAGTTCAAGTTATACTCGCCTTCAGTTGAAGTGACTTCTCTTGTAAAGAGACGCTCACAGTGCTAGGTATGGAGAGTCCGTATGACCTCATCCTAGGCATGCCTTGGTTGGCTAAACACTAACCATGGATAGACTGGCGTACACGCACAGTCGCTAACTCTACGCAAGACACCGGAAAGGATGTGCTCTTGCGATAAGCTTATATGGCTTATGCTGTGTCCAACACAGTCGAGGGTGCGATGACGTTATGTCAATCGGCACTAGGTACTACCCAGCTCGTTGAGCCTGGTGTAGTCGGAAGTGCCCTAACAGGAAGTTAGATGACACTTGTAACGGGCTGAGGACCCGTTACCGTCTTACACTAAAAGGGCGTTGAGGAAGCGCTCTTAATTAACTCATAAATATAACTGTTTTAATTTTGCTTTGTTTTAATTCGCAGTAAGTGCGAATATGTTCCCTAGCTCATGGGAACCACTCAATATGGAAGTCAATTTATTGTTGGCTAATTATTGGGTCTGGCACCCCAATAATGAACCAATAATAAAATGACGCGCAGTATCCGCTAATCGGATACTGCCTTATGCCTACTTATGTAATTATGTATTAATCCTATAACTACTTATGTAATAGGTTGCCCCATTACATCACCCCCCCCTCTTTATGTTGCGCTTACCTCAACGTAAGCGCGAATCGCAGAAAGTTTCTTCTCGACTAAGGGCGTAACTCCGAACCTGCTCAGTTAGACGTAACTGAGCAGCATGGACCC